CAGTTCTTCCAACTCACGAGTTCTTGCTCTGAGGACACACACACACACACACACACACATCATCACTGATAACACACACACACACACACACACATCATCACTGTTAAACACACACACACACACACATCATCACTGTTAAACACACACACACACACACACAAAAATCCCCTCTCTTTAGGCTGAACATTTGAAGACAGAGAACCCGACTCAGAGCCAATGCAACAGTGGAGGGGACCTCGCCCAACTCATCAGGACCAATCAGAAGATCAGAACTACTAGATTCAACCTACATCATTTATTGTATAAAATGTCAGCACACAATGTTTTCGGGGCTCTCTTCAGATAGCTCCCTAAGAGTTTGACGAACGAGTCCGTGCACGCGATTCCAGATATCTTTACCTCTGAATAAACTGCCTTTATTATACCATATCCACCCTGTCCAAAGTCTCTACTTGGTCTCAGTTCTCCAGTAAACTTGTGATTATCAACAGTACACAACGGTAACAAACAATTGGGGGAACTCACGGGGCAGATAGTAAGGTCGCAGTGACACAGAAAGCAGTTCAATGTCGGGGCTCGGGGGTACAGAGTCGCTCTCTTACCAGGATCGATTTTCCCTGTGACTGTCAGATCGAGGTCCGCTCCGACGAGGGTGAAGCCGGCCGGCTCCACTTCTCTGTCCGGGACTCTGTCATCCAGCCAAGTCTCCCAGCTGTATTGGATTCCGCTGCCAGCAACGTTTTCATTATTTAGTCCGTTCGTAGCGGGTATGTACACGATCAACAAGATCAGTCCAAAACCCACCACTGGAAATCCATGGTTGGCAGAATGTTTGTAAACTAAGTGTACAAATTAAAAACATAAAATAACGCCACTAAGTGTACAAATTAAAAACATAAAATAACGCCACATTGCAGGTCGCAACAGAGACGCTGCTAGCCGCTATTTGCTTAGTTACGTTCATGGTTACGTCACGTATGACGAAAGCGCGTAAGTGCAAGCCCACAGACACCCATAGAGAATGTATTGAAAGCTTTGAAATTTGAAAAAAATAGATTTTACATGACAGGCTATGAGAGACTTCTGGGCGATTTTCAACCTGACTGAAATCGCCCAAAAACGGGCGGGGCCATTTGAAGCACGACTTTAGCCTGATTTGACATTTAGTGGCAGTCAGATCAGATTACAACACTGATAACTACTGTTGCCGTGATATAATTGATTAGAAAAAAAATCCCTTCCTTTTCCCGTTTGGCAGTGCGTCGCCCATATCGCCCTATTGAACAGGCCGTCCCTGGTCCTAAGACACCTGTAACAGATGTAATGAACTTGTTAATATAAATACATATTACACAACATAAGCTCAGTTGTAAATACCCAAGGAGGAGGACATAAAGTCCTGTAAACAAATTAAAGCAGATGAGCAGATTCCTGGAGTTATAAGTGGAAAGAGAGAACATTTTTATCATCCCAGAGGCATTGATCAGGATTCTGAACACATTTGGCCCAGGCAGCAGAGCGCTCTGGTCTGTGGTGTTGGACCTGTGGTGTTTTTTTTTCTCTCTCCCTCTCTCCTCTCTCCTCCCTCCAACCAGCCCACCTCACTGCAGGCCACTGACCCACATTGAAATGTGAAAATTCATCATCACCATTGACAAGTGTATTGACAAAACTATGTACTGGGGCTATAATACGAAACCTATCTGCAGCATAGCTGGATTGCCAGAAATATCTCATTCCAATTATCTGCGGTCTCATATGACCTGCGGACATTTCACTAGTGCAAAAACCAGAGCTTTCTAAATAATCAAATCAAATTGTATTTGTCACATGCACCAAATACAACAGGTGTAGACCTTACAGTGAAATGCTTACTTACAAGGCCTTAACCAACAATGCAGTTTTAAGAAAAAACACCCAAAAATTACAGAAAAAAACATGAAAAAATGTGTGCGGGGGCACAGGTTAGTCAAGATAATTGGAGGTAATATGTACATGTAGGTAGAGTTATTAAAGTGACTATGCATAGAGAATAAACAGAGAGTAGCAGCAGCGTAAAAGAGAGAACAGTCTATGACTAGGGTGGCTGGAGTCTTTGACAATTTTTAGGGCCTTCCTCTGACACCGCCTGGTATAGAGGTCCTGGATGGTAGGAAACTTGGCCCCAGTGATGTACTGGGCCGTACGCACTACCCTCTGTAGTGCCTTGCAGTCGGAGGCCGAGCAGTTGCCATACCAGGTAGTGAGGCAACCAGTCAGGATGCTCTCGATGGTGCAGCTGTAGAACCTTTTGAGGATCTGAGGACCCATGCCAAATCTTCTCAGTCTCCTTAGGGGGAATAGGTTTTGTCGTGCCCTCTTCACGACTGTCTTGGTGTGCTTGGACCATGATAGTTTGTTGGTGATGTGGACACCAAGGAACTTGAAGCTCTCAACCTGCTCCAATGCAGCCCCGTCGATGAGAATGGGGGCGTGCTCGGTCCTCTTCTTTTTCCTGTAGTCCACAATCATCTCCTTTGTCTTGATCATGTTGGGAGAGGTTGTTGTCCTGGCACCACACGGCCAGGTCTCTGACCTCCTCCCTAAAGGCTGTCTCGTCGTTGTCGGTGATCAGGCCTAACACTTTTGTGTCATCGGCAAACTTAATGATGGTGTTGGAGTTGTGCCTGGCCATGCAGTCATGGGATAGGGACTACAGGACGGGACTGAGCACGCACCCCTGAGGGGCCCCCGTGTTGAGGATCAGTGTGGCGGATGTGTTGTTACCTACCCTTACCACCTGGTGGCGGCCCGTCAGGAAGTCCAGGATCCAGTTGTAGAGGGAGGTGTTTAGTCCCAGGGTCCTTAGTTTAGTGATGAGCTTTGAGGGCACTATGGTGTTGAACGCTGAGCTGTAGTCAATGAATAGCATTCTCACATAGGTGTTCTTTTTGTCCAGGTGTGAAAGGGCAGTGTGGAGCACAATAGAAATTGTATCATCTGTGGATCTGTTGGGGCGGTATGCAAATTAGAGTGGGTCTAGGGTTTCTGGGATAATGGTGTTGATGTGAGCCATGACCAGCCTTTCAAAGCACTTCATGGCTACAGACGTGAGTGCCACGGGTCGGTAGTCATTTAGGCAGGTTACCTTAGTGTTCTTGGGCACTGGGACTATGGTGGTCTGCTTGAAACATGTTGGTATTACAGACTTGGACAGGGAGAGGTTGAAAATGTCAGTGAAGACACTTGCCAGTTGGTCAGCGCATGCTCTGAGTACACGTCCTGGTAATCTTGTGAATGTTGACCTGTTTAAAGGTCTTACTCACTTCGGCTACGGAGAGCGTGATCACACAGTCGTCCGGAACAGCTGATGCTCATGCATGCTTCAGTGTTACTTGCCTCGAAGCAAGCATAGAAGTAATTTAGCTCGTCTGGTAGTCTCGTGTCACTGGGCAGCTCGCGGCTGTGCTTCCCTTTGTAGTCTGTAATAGTTTGCAAGCCCTGCCACATCGACGAGTGTCGGAGCCAGGTTAGTACGATTCGATCTTAGTCTTGTATTGACGCTTTGCCTGTTTTATGGTTCGGAGGGCATAGCAGGGTTTCTTATAAGCTTCCGGGTTAGTGTCCCGCTCCTTGAAAGCAGCAGCTCTACCCTTTAGCTCAGTGCGGATGTTGCCTGTAATCCAAGACTTCTGGTTGGGGTATGTACGTACAGTCACTGTGGGGACGACGTCATCGATGCACTTATTGATGAAGCCAGTGACTAATGTGGTGTACTCAATGCCATCAGAATAATCCCAGAACATATTCCAGACTGTGCTAGCGAAACAGTCCTGTAGTTTAGCATCTGCTTCATCTGACCACTTTTTTATTGACCGAGTCACTGTTGCTTCCTGCTAGAATGGCTAGCTACATAAACAACAAAAAATCTTGATGTTATATTTTGTCATGAATATTTCCTAGCTTTAGTCAGGGAGCTTATCCAATTCCAAAAATCGTGCACATTTGTTTGCCATAAGCCCTAGTACCTTGCATCTGACTATAGCCTACTAGATAAGGAATAGCCTAGAGGAGACTTGTGTTACCATACTCCCATCTAGTGGAACGATGTTATCACTATAGGCTTCTTTCCTGTCTGACATTTGCATTCAATGTGTCACTTTGTGACTTTGGCCAAATTGATAAAGAATCATGGCTTAATTAAAAGGCTCATAATAACAAATTGATAGCTAATCATTTCTGAGTACCATACTGTGATTGTTTTCAATTAAAATGGTCTGTCTGTGAGTGGTTTGAGTGGGAGGGGAAAACTGAAAACTAGCTTTGGAACTCTCTAATTGATCTATTTACTAATTTTCCGCCTGGTGTTGTCACCAGGCAGGCCAAAACTCCATCCCACCAAAACAGGCTGAAATTTCAGGAGGTCTTTTCAAAAAACGCTTACAATAAAATGGCATTATCATAATATTATTCCAACCTCAGTGTGGAAATATATATAAAATACAGGAAAATCACGTTTTTGACTGCACTGGGCATTTAAGCCGTTGCCCAAGGTCTGGCTAGTCGAGACTAATGTGTAGGCAGGTACCTGGCGCGAGGTCGACATCTGAAGTGCGATGACGCGAAAGCGTAAGAATGGCGCTGTTAACATCAGATATTCATCTCCTGAGTATACACTTTCGTTCGAGGTGTACATACCTATGTCTCCTTATTACAAACCAAGTAATCTTACTTATAGGTCTTCATGCTCTCTTGAGAACCTTGATTAACCGCGAAAACGATTCAGTCGGCAGTGGTGAGCCAGTCCAGGATGTATTGGGCCTCCCTACCAGGCCGACGGCCTGTTGTAGGCTCGTTTAGGGCCAAAGTAGTGGGCTGGGGTGGTGGGATAGTGTATAGGTGCAGGGTTAGATTGTAGCGCAATTAAAGTTTCCCCATTCCCCTTTTTTTTTGGTGACCAAAATGTGTAATCCGTACTCCGACCTGCGAAAGGCAGCAATACAACACAGCGTCGAGTCTGCCGGAAAACCACACTAAGAAGAAGAAGAAGTCTCGACGTCACCACTGTAAACTTCTGCTCCGGAAGAATACTTAGTCCATTATGAAATCACAGGCGACAGATAAGTAAACTTAGTATACAGTAGCTTATTATTTAAGAAAAGATTTCACGGTCCGACATACTGTGAATATGACCTTCGCCTTGAGATCAACGCGACGCTTGTACACTCACCTGTCAACGTCTGGTTTCGTGCAGTGTCGCACTATCAAGAAAGAACACAATTTAAAAGTGAGCATTCAATTAACTTGGTAATGTGTCAGTTTGTTCTGATATTTTGATCATACCGGTAGTTAATGTTTAAAAGCTTGATGAACTGCTTGAAATAATATTGATCTGGTTGATAGATAACCGAAATGCACGGCTGCATTTATTCTGTAGGCTAGTAGAGCCTTAGCCTTTGACCATTACATGACAGGTAAGTCATTGGACGAAGGCGTCTCCTGTTGGGGGTAGTTTTGTTCAGATCCAGACGTTCAATCTGAACATTAACATGCATCTCTTGCGCTACGGTTTTAAAAACATAAGGACCTTATATTTCATATCAGCGAAAAAAATTTCTAAAAACAAAAGGAGATGAATATCTGATGTTAGTGATTTTTTTCAAAAAACAAAAGGTTAAATTGATACACACCTTGTTATTAAGGTTAGTATGGCCATATCTCCATGTTACAGCGCTTGTTTACTGAAAACAGATGGAAGACAAGAGGCGACCACCTGTGCTAATTAGCTATCTAGCATGTTCCGAACACCTGTGTGTAATGCCGCGTTCATTACATTTACATTTTAGTCATTTAGCAGACGCTCTTATCCAGAGCGACTTACAGTTAGTGCATACATTATTTATTTTTATTTTTCAAACTGGCCCCCTGTGGGAATCGAACACACAACCCTGGCGTTGCAAACGCCATGCTCTACCAACTGAGCTACCTGCCGGCCATTCCCTCCCCTCCCCTACCCTGGACGACGCTGGGCCAATTGTGCGCCGCCCCATGGGTTCTTGTATAGTCCCCTTGTTCAGGTATGGCTAAAATGTTATTATTATTTGTGTGTCCCTGTGTTAGAATGGTGGGTGGGAGCGGGTGATCCCTGCATTCCGCTCTGTGTGTGGTGAAGATGGAGTGTCCTTGGGTGAAGCAGTCAGGGAGCAACATGGCAGAGATGAGTCTGTACACAGGTGAGCTCAGCCATCTGGCACAGAGCAGGTATGTTCTGTCTCCAACATGCACACACACATACATGTGTACAAACTCGATTTGTGTATGTGTTTCAGGGTTGGGGTCAATTCGAATTGAAGGCAGTCAATTCAGGAAGTAAACTTAAATTACAATTTAATAGTTGAAAAAAGGGCATTTATTTTCAATGACTTCTCAATAAACTGAACAGTAGAAGCTATTTAAAAAAAAAATCTAAATATTAAATTCACATCAATTCCTGAATTGACTGCCTTCAATTTGAATTGACCCAACCCTGATGTGTTTCTTGTGATGGATAGCTACAGGGATTCGGGGTGGTTCTAGGAGTATCCTATTAGTCTAAGTGATTGTTCTCTCGCAGATGTCGCCCCCCAGACGTAGTGGTGTGGCCGCGTAGTGTGGAGGAGGTCAGTGCCCTCGCCAAGATCTGCCACCACCACCACCTTCCCATCATCCCCTTTGGCACGGGCACAGGCCTCGAGGGCGGAGTGGGGGCACTTAAGGTGAGAGAGAATCAGTCTGTCAAGGAGATGTATATCAGTCTGGCAAGTTTGATTAATCTCTCTGTGAATTTATAGTCATTCCACCTCAAAAAGTACAAGAAAGAGGATTTCGACACCCGCCATCTCAGATTGTTCTGAAATCCTTTCTGTAGTTAGAAACAGGAATATGATTAGCATTCCTTGTAGAAATATAGTTTGATTTAAGCTAATTGACTGTACACAAATGAGCCATTTTAATTGATAGGATTCAGATAATCTTCAATAAATATAGTACCTAACATCCGATTCGGACCTTAATTCTTCCTAACAATGAGTAAGACAAGGAATCCAATAAAATTATAAAAAGCCACCCACAGACCCCACTCTGATCCAACAACCAATATACAGTATTGGTTATCTGTGTTTGACAAGTAGTATGGAGTAAGGCTTCTTCTTCATCCTTTGTAAGGTATTCTCTGTCAATCTGGTGATGTTTTTTTCCCCCTGTTCAGAGAAATTAGTCATTGAAGTAACTTTACCATAAATTAGTGTGAAAATACCAAGTTTTGCCCACTAGATGCCGCTATTCCTGCTACTGGCACCACACCCTTTTATCCATGTTGCTGGTGTCTTGTGTTTATTAAATAGATCACAACATTCTCTTTGCAACTTTGGGTAGAAAACCAATAGATTTTGCTCATGATGAAACTAGATTTTATGGTCATCCTCACAATTCAAGCCAGTCCTCCATGAAAGCAATTCTGTTTTTCATTCTCATAGGCTTAATTTCTGACCATGAAACAGCCCCTCTGTGTGTGGTTTATTCCCTTCAAAAAAGGTCTGGATTAGTTTGACCATTCCTGGTGAACAAGCAAACCATTAGGCTACAGCACTTCAATGGTAAAAGTCCCAAACACACACACTATAGTATTTTGCAATGGTAATTGTATTGGGTTGGGTTTAATGGTAAATGTCACTGATCACACTACATATAGAGATGTTTTCAAATAATGTTTTAGAAAAACATATGACTGCCATGCAATGGATTATATTTGAATTACTTTATTAGGGTTGTCACAACATTTTAGTCACTAGCACACAGTGGTGGTAAAAGTACCCAACTGTCATACTTGAGTAAAAGTAAAGATACCTTAATAGAAAATGACTCAAGTAAAAGTCACCCAGTAAAATTCTACATGAGTCAAAGTATTTGGTTTAAAATATACTTAAGTATCAAACGTAAAAGTGTAAATAATTTCAAATTCCTTATATTAAGGAAACCAGATGGCACCATTTTCTTGTTTTTTTTTATTTACAGAAAGCAAGGGGCACACTCCAACACACAGACATCATTTACAAACGAAGCATGTGAGTTTAGTGAGTCCGCCAGATCATAGTCAGTAGGGATGACCAGGGATGTTTGTTTGATAAGTGTGTGAATTTGACTATTTTCCTGTCCTGCTAAGCATTCAAAATGTAACGAGTACTTTTGGGTGTCAGTGAAAATGTATGGAGTAAAAAGTACATTTATTTTCTTTAAGAATGTAGTAAAGTAAAAGTTGGCAAAAATATAAATAGTAAAGTACAGATACCCAAAAAAACTACGTAAGTAGTATTTTTACTTAAGTACCTTACACCACTGCTAGCACATTTCTCCATCAAAGTTTTAGATTTGAAAGAAAAGTATTCATATGAGAATTGCACCATACGGATAGCCCTCAGACAGCTGCCATTTGTTGGACGGGAGAGCTGGGTTGAAGCATTAGGTTGCTAAGAGAAGGACAAACTGAATTGCTTTCATGGAGGACTGGCTTGACCACACAATTTATTTTCATAGTGAGCAAAAGCTATTGGGTTTTCTACACAATTTCCAAAGAAAATGTTGTGATTCATTTAATAAACCAGCAAAATGGATAAAAGGGTGTGGTGGCAGTAGCAGGAACAGTGGCATCTATTGGGCAAAACATGGTACTTTCTCACAAATGTATGGTAAATCATGCAAGTGACTTCAATGGCTAATTTCTCTAAACGGGGTTAAAAATAAACATCACCCTATTCACAGGGAATACATTACAAATGGTGAATAAGCAATACTCTAAGCCACAGCTCCATACTACTTGTCAAACAAAGAGAACTGATACTGTGTACTGGTTGATGGCGTGGGGTCTGTGGGTGGCTTTTTATAATTTTAGTGGATTCCTCATATCTCACACAATGGTAGGAAAAAGTTCAGTCCAAATCGGATGTTGGGTACTATAATTTGTTGAATATTATGTGAATCCAATTTGGGTGCTATCAATTAGCTTTATTTCTCAATAACAATCTGAGATGGTGGGTGTCATGGCTTGCTGAAATGACATGGAATGACCCTAGAGAGAAAGACTACTAGAGTGAGAGAGAAAGTTGTTTTGTGTAAAAGCCGTAATAATTCATGTTGATGTTTTTTGTTTCTCTCACAATGTTAGTTGGAATGTGTGACAGAGTAAGACAGGATGCAGTGTCATCATCTCCTAAAGGTGTCTAAATGGAGGGTGCTGTGTAAGAGGTCTTGCAAAAGGGCTCAATGCGTTGTCACTGCTGTTGTCAGTACCAAACAACGCAGGCAGACGTCTGTACAGTGCATCCCTGACCTCTAATAATGTGGGTCCTTGTATTCACAATGTTTCATTGAGGGTCGATATGAAGTATTCCTAAGTGTGTGTGTGTAAGGGCGGGGTGTGTTTCAGTCTGAGGAACATGGACAGGGTGTTGGACCTCCATCAGGAGGACTTTGATGTGAGTGTGGAGCCAGGTGTGACACGCAAAGGCCTCAACTCCTACCTGAGAGACACGGGCCTGTGGTTTCCTGTCGGTGAGTCACGTGACCTGCAATGATGACACTGCACCAACGGGCGGCCCAATAGGCCTGTCACTACACACCCGGAGTTTAGTTAATCATTGTGAAATTAAGGGGAACGTTTTTCTATTGTGAAATACGGGTCCATGGGTGGAAAATGTTGGGAACCCCTGATCTAAGTAATCATACAAACTACTTTCATGTACAATGGTATTGCATGATCGTCATTCTAGCTGGCATTTTGAGCCTTCAATTGTGAAGAATATTTGTGAAGTGTTAGGTATGAAGTCACTGAGGTGTTCTACTGTCTGTCGTCACACACAGACCCTGGTGCAGATGCTTCTCTGTGTGGCATGGCTGCCACCAGTGCATCAGGCACCAATGCGGTGCGCTACGGCACCATGCGGGAGAACGTACTCAACCTAGAGGTGGTCCTGGCAGATGGATCCATCATTCACACAGCAGGCAGGGGGCGCCGGCCAAGGTAACACTCCCAAACATGGATATATTCATGGTTATGTACAGTTGAAGTCTGAGGTTTACATACACTTAGTTACACTCCACAAATTTCTTGGTAACAAACTATAGTTTTGGCAAGTCGGTTAGGACATCTACTTTGTGCATGACACAAGTAATTTTTCCAACAATTGTTTACAGACAGATTATTTCATTTATAATTCACTGTATCACAATTCCAGTGGGTCAGAAGTTTACATACACTAAGTTGACTGTGCCTTTAAACAGCTTGGAAAAATTCCAGAAAATGTAATGGCTTTAGAAACTTCTGATAGGCTAATTGACATCATTTTAGTCATTTGGAGGTGTACCTGTGGATGTATTTCAAGGCCTACCTTCAAACTCAGTGCCTCTTTGCTTGACATCATGGGAAAATCAAAAGAAATCAGCCAAGACCTCAGAAAAAAAATGGTAGACCTCCACAAGTCTGGTTCATCCTTGGGAGCAATTTCCAAACGCCTGAAGGTACCACGTTCATCTGTACAAACAATAGTACGCAAGTATAAACACCATGGGACCACGCAGCCGTCATACCGCTCAGGAAGGAGACGCGTTCTGTCTCCTAGAGATGAACATACTTAGTGTGAAAAGTGCAAATAAATCTCAGAACAACAGCAAAGGACCTTGTGAAGATGCTGGAGGAAACAACAGGTACAAAATTATCTATATCCACAGTAAAACGAGTCCTATATCGACATAACCTGAATGGCCGCTCAGCAAGGAAGAAGCCACTGCTCCAAAACCGCCATAAAAAAGCCAGACTACGGTTTGCAACTGCACATGGGGACAAAGATCGTACTTTTTGGAGGAATGTCCTCTGGTCTGATGAAACAAAAATAGAACTGTTTGGCCATAATGGCCATCATTATGTTTGGAGGAAAAAGGGGAATGCTTGCAAGCCGAAGAACACCATCCCAACCGTGAAGCACGGGGGTGGCAGCATCATTCTATGGGGGTGCTTTGCTGCAGGAGGGACTGGTGCATTTCACAAAATAGATGGCATCATGAGGAAGGAAAATTATGTGTATATATTGAAGCAACATCTCAAGACATCAGTCAGGAAGTTAAAGCTTGGTCGCAAATGGACAAACCCAAGCATACTTCCAAAGTTATGGCTTAAGGACAACAAAGTCAAGGTATTGGAGTGACCTCAATCCTATAGAAAATGTGTTGGCAGAACTGAAAAAGCGTGTGCGAGCAAGGAGGCCTACAAACCTGACTCAGTTACACCAGCTCTGTCAGGAGGAATGGGCCAAAATTCACCCAATTTATTGTGGGAAGCTTGTGGAAGGCTACCCGAAACGTTTGACCCAAGTTAAACAATTTAAAGGCAATGCTACCAAATACTAATTGAGTGCATGTAAACTTCTGACCCACTGGGAATGTGATGAAAGAGAAATAAAAGCTTAAATAAATAATTCTCTCTACAATTATTCTGACATTTCACATTCTTAAAATAAAGTGGTGATCCTAACTGACCTAAGACATTTATTAGGATTAAATGTCAGGAATTGTGAAAAACTAAGTTTAAATTTATTTGGCTAAGGTGTATGTAAACTTCCGACTTCAACTGTACATCATTGCTTACACTGCCAGGCCTGAAACAGAAAATTACAGTTAAAACATGTTTTAGGTTTTTAATAGCTAAACACTGTGGCGTTTTCTCTCTTTCTGTAATTTCACCAGTAATGACATGTATGACCTTTGACCTTCTCTCCGTTAGGAAGACATCAGCGGGGTACAACCTGACCAACCTGTTTGTGGGTTCAGAGGGCACTCTGGGGGTGATCACCAAGACCACCCTGCGTCTCTACGGGGTGCCAGAGGCCATGGTGTCTGCTGTGTGCACCTTCCCCTCTGTCCAGGCAGCAGTGGACAGCACTGTGCAGGTACTCCAGACCGGAGTGCCCATCGCACGCATCGGTGAGTAGATGAGGTGGCCATTTACTCGTTTTTAACACAGAACTTACCTCTGCGTTCATTGTTTTCTTACAGTAAAGTGCCTGTCCATCTTAAACTGACACTGAGCAAGAGACTGATATGCATTCTTACTCAGAGTAACCAAGGGCTTTAGACACTATTTGGAGGACCTGATGCTATTTAAAACACTGACCAAGTGTTTTACCACCATCTTCTCAGAGGAGCTGGAGCCTTGTTCTAATCCAACCACGTCTGTCCTTTCCAGAGTTCCTTGATGATGTGATGATTGACGCCTGTAACAGCTTCAACTCCCTGTCCTACCCCGTGGCCCCCACTCTCTTCCTGGAGTTCCACGGCACTGAGAAGAGTCTGGAGGAGCAGGTTACCGTCACAGGTGTGTGTGTGTGTTGTTATTTTGTTGCTATACTGTGTTATATTGTTATACTGAATGTATGATGTAATTGTACGTTAAAAGGAACATCAGTTGTGATAGTTTGCTGTAAATTCGACCTGTGAGAGTGAGATTTCTTCTTATTTGTTGATGGGAAACTACTTGTTGTGGTGTGTCTAGAGGAGATCACGCAGGCTAACGGTGGGTCAGACTTTAGCTGGGCACGGGATGCAGAGACCCGCGGGCGCCTGTGGAAGGCACGACACGATGCCTGGTACGCTGCCCTGGCACTCAGACCGGGCTGCAAGGTAAGGAAGGCTCTGATAAATAATGTCTTCACTTTGTTTGTAATGACGGATCCAGTGTTGACGTAACAGAAATGTGCTGACTCCATTTTGGTCCTGCAGGCCTATTCCACAGATGTGTGCGTCCCTCTCTCTCGTCTCCCTCAGATCATTGTGGAAACCAAGGAGGACCTGATGCTAAACCGACTCACAGGTAACGGCAAGCTAACACTCAACAGACTCCCTCTTGGTGCATCACTCAGAGGATACAATATTTGTGTATGTGCATGTTACTGTACATGTTTGTGTGTGACCAGTAGTGTATTGAGGATTATTTCTCTCCTGAGGTCCGATCGCGGGTCATGTTGGAGATGGAAACTTCCATTGTATAATGGTCATGGATCCCAATGACCAGGGTGAGGTCACTAGAGTTCATGAGTTCACTGAGAGACTGGCCAGGTACTGTATGTCTCTTTCCTCCCTATATCGCCATTAATCGGCCCCTTGTTCCTGACCATGGAACTCATTCTCTCTTATCCCTGTATTTTATATTTCTCTGTTTCTCTCTCACGCTGTAGGAGAGCACTGGCCATGGACGGGACATGTACAGGGGAGCACGGGGTGGGCTTGGGGAAACGAGCGTTGCTCCGAGAAGAGATGGGACCCCTGGCCATCGAGGTCATGCAGGGCCTCAAAGCGTCCCTGGACCCCAAGAACCTCATGAATCCTGGGAAGGTTCTGTAGCTGAAGGTACTGAAGCTATCACCTTATCAGAGCACTGAATCAATGAATGAAGTGTAATACTTAGGGATGCAATACCTCTGTCTGCCACAGGGTGTCAGTTGGGTATTTTATAGCGTGACTGACAGCACAAAGGGCAAATTGTGTTATTTTTGTGTCCCCTGAAGTTCCTCAGAATTAACTGCTGGTAATTTAGATGTTATTACAATGGAACTGTTTGACTTGAAATTATTTATTTACAACAATCCTAATGCATTGTTTTGCATTTTGTTTCTGCTAAATTATGTGCCCTGTTGATGTGTACATACTGTATTCAAACTGTAATTGGCCACTTCTGATTGACAATGAAGTATTTTTTAATAAAAATTCCTCATCATATTGCCATGGTGAAGTTGCTCTTATGTCTAAAGATTTCTTCTTACAATCTGATTTGCTCCTTTTTAAGACAATCTTAGCTGATGCCTTGAAATAAGGTGAACACAATAACTAAATGATAAGCATTTACACACCATTTCTTGAGTAGATTTGTTAAACTTAACATTTTAGGCCTGAATCTAGTTAAGGAAATGACATGAAGAAACATGTTTATTTTTTATTTTTTATTATTATTATATTTATCATTACTCATCCCACAGATTGCACATCAAAATCATCAGACAAGTAGTTGGTACCTCAAACAGGCATCCATTCACATCCTTGGAAAAAAATCATCAAAATACATTAACTAAATAAAGCAAGAAATGAAGGTATGGCCCTTTTTAGAGTGTTGGTCAGGGCTACAGTTAGCAGGAGACGTTAAGTTCTATATTTTATATCATAACTGACTAGTAGTCTGTCTCCCCTGTGTTCCTCGTTCAGTCTGAGAAGCTAGGTGGTTGTCTGCTTGCTTAATGAATGGTTTTTGAAGTGCCCTCACAGGTATGAAGCAGATAACCCTGCAAAAATACTATTCTCTACATTTCACTCTTAGCACAAATGGAAAAAATATTCACCCGTTTGTTCAGCTTTGTTTGTTTTTTCTTCCAGAATCATCATTCTGTTATTCTTTATTCTTCAGAATGCCTCTAATGTATAATGTGAGTTTTCTGACAGATTTGGAAAAACAAATCTTGTTAAATGTGAATAAATAAGTTGTAACCCCAGAATAGCTCTACAATGTGACTGCCATGTTTGGGTTGATGGGTCATGAACACCTCCAGTACAATAAGTCACATCAGCCAACACAACCAGAGGACATGACCTAATTCAGCAGAAAGCATATGGGGCACAGACAGTCTCTTAGGCCAAGAGGCATCACACATACACATGAACACACTCAAGGCCCTTACAGGGAAATGACTCATTCTGATCAGTGTCTCCCCATCACAGCAAAAACCTGGCAGACAAAAATAAGGACAGAGTATGTCATGGTGATTTTCTGTAACTGTAAACATTAGCGAAATAAAGGGAGAAATGATACATTCACACAGGGAAAATGGACATCTAGATTGTAAACGTTTCAAACACAGACAAACACATAGTATTGTCTCAGACTTCTATTTTACCCTTTATCCAATCAGGCTCTCACACTACAGAGCATCACCCCAACCACACCACAGGTATGGTGACTGACATCATCCTCACCGCCCCAGCACATAGAAGAACGTAAACCAACGAACCCCAACTGTCCCCCACAACACACAAGCACACACCACCAAGTGTAAACGACATACCCCCTCCACACACAGAACAAGTGTAGTTTGACTGGCATCTTCAGTGCCCCAACACATATAGAAGCATAAGCTACACCCCTGACACCTCCCACACACACACACAACAGAAACAGAAACCTACACAGACAGACCCTGCCTGTCCCACCAATACTGCACCTCACACACCACTACTCCACTTTAAAGTGAAGACTTAAGAGAAGCACATGTGACTCCAGCTAATGAGTGGTTGGGTGCTGTAACTCCGGTGACTGGGGGGGGGGAAGCCTTCTATCGCATGTTCAGACAACGTCCTGGGAGTCAACCTTTCCCTGGCACACAGGGTGCATCCAGCCCAATCCTTCCTCTTCATCTTTCTCTTCATCCTCCTCTGTCTCTTCCTGGTGAAGGCCATGGGAGGGCTGGATCCAGATGAGTGACAGGGACCCAGGCAGGGCCAGACTCTGGAGGCAGAATAGAGGGCAGAGCAGGGCGCCAGACCCCCGGAAGAGCCCAGGGCATGTGGTGGGGTGACTGGCTGGCTGGCTGGGGGGGGGGGGGGGGACAAGCGGCCTGGTGAGGCAGTTTGACTGGAGGGATGGTCAGCCTGGTTGGGCTGACAGAGGGCCTCGACTGTCAGTTCGCAGTCTCTAGGGCTGGAGGAGAGGGGGCAGGGAGGAGGGGCACTCTGTAATGCATGTGGAAGTGACAGTATTGGCTTGATGGTTCTTCTTTTGGTTCAGTTTGCTAGGAATTTTCTTGATAGATTGATAGGTTTTTTGATTGTTTAATTGTTTTGGTTACTTCAGTGTCCAGATATCCATGGTTGGACCATAAAGTGCCCTGAGAGATAAAGAGGTTATTTTAAATGCATAATTCACAATTACAGAATGCTATAATTTCATACCGACTGAGAATGTTAGTTTTATTCAGGGTGGTTATACTGTACATGTATGTGTGCATAAGTATGCATTATGCAGTGCATCTACACTGAGTTAACCAAACATTAGGAACACCTTCCTAATATTGAGTTGCACAATTCGTCAGGGCATGGACTCTACAAGGTGTCAAAAGCGTTCCACAGGGATGCTGGCCCATGTTGACTCCAATGCTTCCCACAGTTGTGTCAAGTTGGCTGGATGTCCTTTGGGTGGTGGACCATTCTTGATACACACGGGAAACTGTTGAGCGTGAAACACAGCACCATTGCAGTTCTTGGCACACTCAAACCGGTGCGCCTGGCACCTACTACCATACCCCGTTCAAAGACACTTAAATATTTTGTCTTGCCCATTCACCCTGTGAATGGCACACATACACATTTTACATTTTACATTACATTTACATTTTAGTCATTTAGCAGACGCTCTTATCCAGAGCGACTTACAGTTAGTGAATACATATATATATATTTTTTTTCATACTGGTCCCCCGTGGGAATTGAACCCACAACCCTGGCGTTGCAAACACCATGCTCTATCAACTGAGCTACATCCCTGCCGGCCATTCCCTCCCCTACCCTGGACAACGCTAGGCCAATTGTGCGCTGCCCATGAGTCTCCCGGTCGCGGCCGGCTGTGACAGAGCCTGGATTCGAACCAGGATCTCTAGTGGCACAGCTAGCACTGCGATGCAGTGCCTTAGACCACTGCGCCACTCGGGAGACTACACAATCCATGTCTCAATTGTCTCAAGGCTTAAAAATCCTTCTTTAACCTGTCTCCTCCCCTTCATCTACACTGATTTGAAGTTGATTTAACAAGTGACATCAATAAGGGAGCATACCTTTCACCTGGATTCACCTGGTCAGGCTATGTCATGGAAAGAGCAGGTTTTCTTAATGTTTTGTACACTCAGTGTATATGTTAGTGAGCTATTTTGAGAGCATGTTCTCATCATATTACTACTACCTAGTGACACTGAGTGAGTGTCCTATTTGGATCATAATGTTCTTGTAAGCATCTCCTGTCCCCAGTCTCCTGTGTGGAAGAGAGGAGATGCTCTCACCTTGAAGGAGTAGTAGGAGCACAGAGGTCAGTCAGTCTGAAGGATGCTCAGGGCAGGACCGATTAATCTCAAACCAGGAGTCTATACAGCTGGAGAGGAAGAGGAGAGAGGACACCACCATGAATGCATATATCTCTCTGGCCTCAGTTACGGTACATCACTGAGGCCTAAATGTATTGCCCCACTGAGTATAATTAATCTAGTGGTCATTTCAGGCTGTGTGAGCCTGTGTGCGTAGTGTACAGTGCATTTGGAAAGTATTCAGACCCCTTGACATTTTCCACATTTTATAACGTTACAGCCTTATTCTAAAATGGATTAAATAATTTATTCCCCTAATCAATCTACACACAATACCTCAATGACGAAGGCGAGAACAGGTTTTTAGAATTTTTTGCAAATTTATAAAAAAATATATAAAACAGATTCCTTATTTACATTAGTATTCAGACCCTTTGCTATGACACTCGAAATTGAGCTCAGGTGCATCCTGTTTCCATTGATCATCCTTGAGATGTTTCTAAAACTTGATTGGAGTCCACCTGTGGTAAATTCAATTGATTGGACATGATTTGGAAAGGCACATATAAGGTCCCAAGGTTGACAGTGCATGTCAGAGAAAAAATCAAGCTATGAGATCGAAGGAATTATCCCTAGAGCTCTGAGACAGGATTGTGTCGAGGCACAGATCTGGGGAATGGTTTGGCCGCCAGCCAAACTGAGCAATCGGGGGAGAAGGGTCTTGGTCACTCCACCAATCAGGCCTTTATGGTAGAATGGCCAGACGGAAGCCACTCCTCAGTAAAAGGCGCATGACAGCCCGTTTGGAGTTTGCCAAAAGGCACCTAAAGGACTCTCAGACCATGAAAAACAAGATTTTCTGGTCTGATGAAACCAAGATTGAACTCTTTGGCCTGAATGCCAAGCGTCACGTCTGGAGGAAACCTGGCACCATCCCTACGGTGAAGCATGGTGGTGGCAGCATGTGGGTATGTTTTTCAGCGGCAGGGACTGGGAGACTAGTCAAGATCGAAGGAAAGATGAACGGAGCAAAGTACTGAGAGATCCTTGATGAAAACCTGCTCCAGGGCGCTCAGGACCTCAGACTGGGGCAAAGGTTCACCTTCCAACAGGACAACGCAGGAGTGGCTTCGGGACAAGTCTGAATGTCCTTCAGTGGCCCAGCCAGAGCTCGGACTTGAATCCGATCAAACATCTCTGGAGAGACCTGAAAATAGCTGTGCAGCGCCACTCCCCATCCAACCTGACAGAGCTTGAAAGGATCTGCAGAGAAGAATGAGAGAAACTCCCCAAATACAGGTGTGCCAAGCTTGTAGCGTCATACCCAAGAAGACTCGAGGCTGTAATCGCTGCTTCAACAAAATACTGAGTAAAAGATCTCAAATATCACATTTACATAAGTATTACGTTTTTTATTTTGTTTAGATTTGCTAATATTTCTAAAAACCTTTTTGCTTTGTCATTATGGGGTATTGTGTGTAGATTGATGAGGGGGAAAAAACAATTGAATCCATTTTAGAATAAGGCTGTAACGTAACAAAATGTGGAAAAAGTAAAGGGGTCTGACTGAATACTTTCCGAATGCACTGTACAGTCCGGACCAGGAGTTGAGGCTGAGTGTGCATCAAATGGCACCCTATTCCCTATGGTGCACGACTTTTGACCAGAGCCCTATGTGCCCTAGTCAAAAGTAGTGCACTATATAGGGAATAGGGTGTCATTTGAGATGCAGCCTGAGAGCTTAGTCGTACCTCAACCTCACCTTTTGTGATAGATGCAGAGACAAGGCAGTCTGGCGATGGTGTCTCCTTGCTGCAGCTCCTCCAGACAGATCACACATTCCCCGGCATCCCTCGCTAGCACGTCATCTGGGACACACACACACAGGCAGACACATGCACACAGACGCACACAGGAAGTCAGGCACACACACAAACACATGCACACACACAAAAGAAAGCAAGACAACTGTGAGTGGCAATGACACATCACATCGTACCAAATTTGAAATAGCGAAGGCAGTGTGTCACTGCCACAAGAACAAAACTAAATCAGTAAAACACTGGAGACTATTCCACTACAGCAACAATAGAACAGAAACACCAGAATAGAACAGGGCAAAAGAAACGCAGCTGTGCACTCTGCTATTCAGGTGGAAGAGCATCCAGTCAGTGCGTCAGAGGAGAGGGAGGACCAGGCCTGGTCTGGTTGCTGCTGTGTAAAACAAACAGCAGGGGGCACCATTGAGCACAGTCTGGTCTGGACCAACACTACCAGAGAAGAGGTGGTGAAGCGAGAGGGTCCACTCCCGTCAAAATCTGCCCACGCGGGAATACAGCGATAAGCAGACCGCCTGCCTACCCGCCCTTTGGGACAGCGACTCCTATTTTTAGAGGGGAGACACGACCGTCTCACACAGTATTCACACAGTATCTCTGACAACTCACTGATGCAGGGTTTTACCGGCTTACACCGTGCCAACACATCATTGTTTGGCTTCTAGACCCCACATGGCTCACAGTTACTGTCTCTGTGCAGAGGCAGACGGTACACGAACCAGGAGACTGTGTTGCTGTGTGTGTGTGTATGAGCTGTTACTGGAAACATCCAGTCATTTGTTCAGCAAGGTAATGATCAGCAGGATATGACACGTTAGCTCATACCCCAACAGTGAGTCACTGAAACACACATGTTGCAACAGCCAGTGTTCTTAGAATAAGACATGGTGGATTCCAGTAAAACCTAGTTTTAATTTAACAGGAAATGCTGAACTGCAGAGTGCCAGAACCGAGTAGGAGACCAGACCACATCCTGTTACAGCAACTCACTACTTTCCCTGGAAACACTTGTGTGTGTGTGTGTGTGTGTGTGTGTGTGTGTGTGTGTGTGTGTGTATGCGTGTGCACATCTTTCTTGTCATGACTGTTTTGTTTGAGTGAGTGTGTGGTTTTAAAACAAAGGGTAGACTTAAGCAATAAGGCCCGAGGGGGTGTGGTGTATGGCTAATATATATCATGGCTAAGGGCTGTTCTTAGGCACGACATGAAGCGGAGTGCCTTATTGCTTTTATAAACTGGTTACCAACATACACTGAGTATACCAAACATTAGGAACACATTCCTAATATTGAGTTATCAACAGCCTCAATTCTTCGGGGCATGGTGTCTACAAGGTGTCAAACAGTTCCACAGGGATGCTGGCCCATGTTGACTCCAATACATCCCACAGTTGTGTCAAGTTAGCTGGATATCATTTGTGGTGGTGGTGGAGCATTCTTGATACACACGGGAAACTGTTGAGCGTGAAAAACCCAGCAGCGTTGCCGTTCTTGACACAAACCAGTGTGCCTGGCACCTACAACCATACCCTGTTCAAAGGCACTTTCTTTGTCTTGCCCATTCACCCCCTGAATGGCACACACACAATCCATGTCTCAATTGTTTCAACACTTAAAAATCCTTATTTAACCTGTCTCCCCCCCTTCATCTACACTGATTGAAGTGTAATTAACAAGTGATATCAATAAGGGATCATCGCTTTCACCTGGATTCACCTGGTCAGTCTATGCCATGGAAAGAGCATGTTTTGTATACTCAGTGTATATAGAACAGTAAACAAGTATATTTGCGTCATACCCGTGGTATATTGTCTGATATGCACATGGCTGTAATTCTGTTTTAGCCAATCAGCATCACGGACCCAAACTACCCAGTTTATAAAAGGGGATGGTGAGGTGAACGTGATGCTCTGAACCTCTGGTAGTCCATTCAAAGCATTCAAGGAAGTGAAGGTTATGTTTTTAAATGACCCTTAATGAAACGTTTGGTTAGGTTTGGTCACTGGGTGAATACAGTATTAGAACAAAGGAAAGCGGGAGGAGGAGGGATGAGAGACGAGGGAGGGAATGTGGGGAAGCTAAGGTGAAGGGAGGAGAAGACAGCGTGAGATGGAGTGAGACAGACAGAAGACATATGCTCTGAATGTAAATCAGCTTAGCTGGCTGCCCAGTCCCATCAACCCTCTGCCTCCCCCTCCTTCTCCACCCCTCACCCCCTCTCTCCTCCAACATCCTCAATCTCGAAAACTGGTCCTCATTAAATTCATACACAGCTGTTCCCCTTCCACACTCCTGTGATAGAACAATAAGCACCCCCTCCTCCTCCCCCCGTCTCACCTCCTGCTCCTTAGCTTGTTATCCTCTTAGGAGCTATGGCTTCAGCGGCTCGCTTCGCATTATGCCAGCCTGCCAGCCAGCCAGCCAGCCAGCCTGCCAGCCTGCCAGCCAGCCAGCCAGAGGGAGGGAGTGTGCATGTTTGTGTGCATGCAATGTTGTGTACATGGGGGAATTTAGGTCTAGGTCTTCAGACTGCAATGTACAGTGTAGTATACTGTATATGTCTATATATTTGTGTCTGTGTGTATCCATTATTATTTGTGTTAAGTTGTTTAATTCTTGTGGTTAGTTAGGTATTATGTTTTATGCTTGTGTATGTGTGTGTGTGTGTTTTCTAGGAATCTATGGGTGTTTGTGAGTTGGTTTTTGAGTGAGTGAATGTGACACTGTTTTAGTGGAAATGTGAGTTGGAGAGTGAAGGATAGGTATACCCAGTCCACGTGAGCTGACCACTGTGTTTTTTTTGGGCTACGACATTGCATGATGATATTTTAATACTTGTGGTTAAATATAGCCCTTGAAGAGAGACCGAGAGGAGAGTTGGAGGGAGAGAGAGAGAGAGAGAGAGTGAGAGAGGAGAGAGAAAGAGTTTGGCTTTTACAGCACAGGTGATGGCTGCCTGCTAGTTTGGAGGACATACAGAGACAGAAAGGGAAGCAAGCCATGCTTGAGAAAGCCATAAAAGAAAAGTACTTTAGTCCTATTTGATGTGTTTGGGAAAAATGCCAAATCTCCGTTGGCAATATACTGTATGCAAATGACACTGAGTGGGAAAGGAGTTTATCTGTGAAATATAAATGAATAATTCAATAACGTCTAGATATTACACTGTCTCTTACCATTGATGGCGGACGGTGCTGTTTTTGACCAATATTAATGCACTTCTATTTCTGTATTAGCTGGGTGTCACCCCTTTGTTCATCCCATAGCAGTATCAATACCGGCTGGGGTGGACAGGAGTTCACGGGTAAAAGCACAATTAAAGACCACTGGGTAAACCACCCAAATAATGTGTGGCATTTCTAACCATTAACCAATATCACAATGTCAATCTTGCTGGCCAGATACCCACACCTCACCCAACCCACACAAACACACACTGTATGGATCTTCTATCTCATTATTATAGACACACACAACTCTGTAGCTGCTCCACAAACAGAAACACAGTAAGGATACAGACAGACACACACACATTTATCACTGCCACTGCGGGCAGGGTGTGTGTGTGTGTGTGTGTGTGTGTGTGTGTGTGTGTGTGTGTGTGTGTGTGTGTGTGTAGGTATATTGGCCATGCAGAGAGATCTGCTGATGTGTGACAGGCAGCGGGCCCAGCTGATTGACAATGGACCACAGAGCATTCTGGGAAATAAGATAAGCCGCAGTCCTGTCCCTATGTGTCACTAACTCAGGGGATTGCAGAGGAGAAACAGACAGGGATAGAGAGAGAGAGGAAGAGGGAAAAAGAGGAAGAGATGGAGAGGGGGAGAGAAAGTAAATGTGTCAGAAATAAAAATTGACAGGGCAGTTGAAAAACAACCCAAAAAATGAGAGATTGCTCTTCTTTGTCCTCTTACTCTTTATCAGCCATCTCTGTATCACTCTCCATACTCTTCCATCCTTCTCAGTCACTCTCTGTACTATTCCATCCTTCTCAGTCACTCTCCATACTATTCCATCCTTCTCAGTCACTCTCCGTTCTCTTCCATCCATCCCAGTCACTCTGTACTATTCCATCCATCCCAGTCACTCTCCATACTATTCCATCCTTCTCAGTCACTCTCCGTACTCTTCCATCCATCCCAGTCACTCTGTACTACTCCATCCATCCCAGTCACTCTCCATACTATTCTATCCTTCTCAGTCACTCTCTGTACTCTTCCATCCTTCTCAGTCACTCTCCGTACTCTTCCATCCATCCCAGTCACTCTCTGTACTATTCCATCCATCCCAGTCACTCTCTGTACTATTCCACCCATCCCAGTCAGTTTCTCTCTCCTTTTGCTCCTCACTATCTCAATCTGTTTCTACCCCTGTTCCTTTTCAGCCCCTCATCTGTCACCCTCTCCCTCTGTGTCCTGACAGACCTGGCTTTAAATGAGCCCCAGAAAGCAGACTGGTGATACGTGACACGTAGCCCACAGGGTCACCTTCAGCCCCAGACAGACCGTAACAGAAAGCGGTCACTCAAACAGGTAGCAGTCAGTCAGTCACTCACAGGGGTGACTAAGGCTGCAGGCAGCTATCTCAGCCAGCCACTCTGTCAATCACACAACCTGGAACCAGGCCAGCACACAGTGTCACGGGAAAAGAACAGCAGACAGGCACCCATAATGCCCTGGGAAAGCTGATTGTCTACCTGAATCGACTCTGAACATATACCTGGCTTGACTCCCTGAACATACATATGTACCTAGCTGACACTCTGAACATTTAACTGTCTCTCCTACAATCTGAGCATACTGATTACACATTAACCAAAACCAATTACAGAGCTAATGGCATACATACACTATGTATTTGGCTACTGTATGGTGCATGTAGATCAGGTTTTTCTTGTTTAGATACTGTGATTACTAAAGTACAAGCAGCTCAAGCCATTGATACAGAAATACAGGATTCTATTTCTATGGCTTCAGTCTGCATTGGACAATTCTGAACTATCATATTGAGGCATGTCTGCAGACAGACAGACAGACAGACAGACAGTAGTAATATGGAGAGAATCAATGGAGGGAATAACACACTGCCGTGACCCCAGCTCTGGTACTAGGCAGATGGGTCATATAGAGTTCACATCTACATTCCCACAGTCACAGCCAGCATCGACATAGTAAGAGATAGGGGAGAGAGAGCATCATAGGAGAGGGGGATGAGAGGCTACGTGAGCAAGAGAGAGACAAAGGGATAATGAGAAGAATGCAGAGATTCAGAGGAGGAAAAGTGGCAAACAAGAGGGGAGAGAAGGAGAGATAAAGCACAGGATATAGGGTCTGGGGAGAGGTAGAGGAAGGGTGTCTCACCATTATAGGACAGGCGGGGCTTGCTTAGACACATGATGAAGTGCACCTCCATCTCATTGGACGCCACAGACTTGGAGCAGACAGGACACTTGAACCCTGTGGAGAACGAGGTTAGACTTTAGTATAAGCACGTTACACTGGCTCTCTGGCGCTCAAAGCAACCATCCAATTTACAACAGCGAATAAGTGAAACAAATGATCCTAGATTATTACAAACCAGTGTTCCCAACTAGAATAGGGGCACCACAAACATTGGCATCGACCATGTAGTCACACTGAATCACTCTGTCTGTCTATCTGTCTGTCTGTCTTTTCTAGTCAGTGCCCTTGTGACAATGTGATACAGACCTGTCCCTTATTAATCATGTAATAAAAAATGTATAATATGTAAAAATGTTGAATGTTTACCTGCATATGGAAAGGGACTGCAGATGGAAATTAGCTGTGTTGCAAAATCTGGTGAGACATAGTATGTTGTCCCTGACTAATAAACTAAGCAATTTTTAAAACTGTGTTGATACAATTCTGGCACATAGAGTGAGTCATTAAACACATACTGTATATCCCATCCCAAATAGCAGACATGACTTATGGCAAAGCCCTATTTTAGCTATCTCTCTTACGATGTTTGGTTTCAGCTTTGTGCATACAACAGCATTAGCAAAGCACATAACAGGAGATTACATCAATTCCTGCCGTCGCTCTCTATCCAGCCACGAGTTGAGTTTTGCATCATGAGCTCTCAATACTGCTTAAACACAGACACCAATAGTGTTCAGCTGGCTGCACCCAACACTTTACATTTACCCAGATACCATGAACATAGACACCAGGGCAGTGTCCCAAATGACACCCTTTCCCTATATAGTACACTACTTTGGAATATAGTGTGCCATTTGGGACACAACCCAGTAGTGTTTAGATGGCTGCGGCACCAAATCCTTTACATTTATTTACACAGTTACCATCCCAGATCCCACAGCGCTGGGCTGGACTTGCCAGTCTTTTAAGGAACAATAGCAGGCCATTATCACGTTGGCCATGAAACTACTGAGTCCAGGGACCACGCTGTCCTGTGTGTGCATGGCCAGAAATGAGCTCAGCCATGCCAAAATCAGCTTGTTTTTGGTCCAATTATAACTATGCACGTATAAAGATGTTGCTATTCATTCATACTGGTAGTATATGACTGTGTTATTCCTCATTACTAGTTAGTTATACATGTGATGTTTTAGAAATGGTATATGTGCCGCTGGGAAAGCAGTGAGCAGAATGTGTCCTCCTTCTGTATTTTCTCTTTATTCAGTAGAGGGAGGGACAGCATCAACGTGTCAGTGGTGGGATTCGTACCTATATCGCTAATATCAATATGTTCTTGGGAGACTGCAGCAGTACTGCTACTCCACGCTCCCGCACCAGAATGTGTGTTTAGTGTTTTAAGTCAGGGTCTACATTTTTTTTTTTATTGGGGGGGAGGGGTAGATCAGCTTTAATATTACAGATAGATTGTAACTTCCATCAATGTAATTGTCTCCCGATTGGCGCAGTGGTCTAAGGCACTGCATCGCAGTGCTAGCTGTGCCACTAGAGATCCTGGATCGACTCCAGGCTCTGTCGTAGCCGGCCGCGACCGGGAGACCCATGGGGCGGCGCACAATTGGCCCAGCGTCGTCCAGGGTAGGGGAGGGAATGGCCGGCAGGGATGTAGCTCAGTTGGTAGAGCATGGCGTTTGCAATGCCAGGGTTGTGGGTTTGATTCCCACGGGGGGCCAGTATAAAAAAAAAATATATATATATAACTTAACTGTAAGTCGCTCTGGATAAGAGCGTCTGCTAAATGACTAAAATGTAAAATGTAAATGTCTGCGTCACTTCCAATCCCCCATATGTTTTATTTTCTTGAGAAAAAAAAATATATACACACACTACCGTTCAAAAGTTTGGCTATTGTAGCTGGAAACGGCTGATTTTTAATGGAATATCTACATAGGCGTACAGAGGCCCATTATCAGCAACCATCAGTCCTGTGTTCCAATGGCACGTTGTGTTTGCTAATCCAAGTTGATCATTTTAAAAGGCTAATTGATCATTAGAAAACCATTTTGCAATTATGTTAGCACAGCTGAAAACTGTTGTGCTGATTAAAGAAGCAATAAAACTGGCCTTCTTGAGACTAGTTGAGTATCTGGAGCATCAGCAATTGTGGGTTCGATTACAGGCTCAAAATGGCCAGAAACAAACAACTTTCTTCTGAAACTCGTCAGTCTATTCTTGTTCTGAAAAATGAAGGCTATTCCATGCGAGAAATTGCCAAGAAACTGAAGATCTCGTACAACTCCCTTCACAGAACAGAGCAAACTGGCTCAAACCAGAATAGAAAGAGGAGTGGGAGGCCCCGGTGCACAACTGAGCAAGAGCACAATAATTATATTTTGTTTGTTTTTACTCCTGAACTTCCTCTACCCTCAAACTCCGATCATTTTCATGATGTCCATTCGGTTTGCTTCTAATGCCTTATCTTTCTAACTGTGCTCTTTCACAAAAGCTCTCAACCTATAACCTATATACAGTGGGGAGAACAAGTATTTGATACACTGCCAATTTTGCAGGTTTTCCTACTTACAAAGCATGTAGAGGTCTGTCATTTTTATCATAGGTACACTTCAACTGTGAGAGACGGAATCTAAAAAATCCAGAAAATCACATTGTATGATTTTTAAGTAATTAATTTGCATTTTATTGCATGACATAAGTATTTGATACATCAGAAAAGCAGAACTTAATATTTGGTACAGAAACCTGTGTTTGCAATTACAGATATCATATGTTTCCTATAGGTCTTGACCAGGTTTGCACACACTGCAGCAGGGATTTTGGCCCACTCCTCCATACAGACCTTCTCCAGATCCTTCAGGTTTCGGGGCTGTCGCTGGGCAATACGGACTTTCAGCTCCCTCCAAAGATTTTCTATTGGGTTCAGGTCTGGAGACTGGCTAGGCCACTCCAGGACCTTGAGATGCTTCTTACAGAGCCACTCCTTAGTTGCCCTGGCTGTGTGTTTCGGGTCGTTGTCATGCTGGAAGACCCAGCCACGACCCATCTTCAATGCTCTTACTGAGGGAAGGAGGTTATTGGCCAAGATCTCGCGATACATGGCCCCATCCATCCTCCCCTCAATACGGTGCAGTCGTCCTGTCCCCTTTGCAGAAAAGCATCCCCAAAGAATGATGTTTCCACCTCCATGCTTCACGGTTGGGATGGTGTTCTTGGGGTTGTACTCATCCTTCTTCTTCCTCCAAACACGGCGAGTGGAGTTTAGACCAGAAAGCTCTATTTTTGTCTCATCAGACCACATGACGTTCTCCCATTCCTCCTCTGGATCATCCAGATGGTCATTGGCAAACTTCAGACGGGCCTGGACATGCGCTGGCTTGAGCAGGGGGACCTTGCGTGCGCTGTAGGATTTTAATCCATGACGGCGTAGTGTGTTACTAATGGTTTTCTTTGAGACTGTGGTCCCAGCTCTCTTCAGGTCATTGACCAGGTCCTGCCGTGTAGTTCTGGGCTGATCACTCACCTTCCTCATGATCATTGATGCCCCACGAGGTGAGATCTTGCATGGAGCCCCAGACCGAGGTTGATTGACCGTCATCTTGAACTTCTTCCATTTTCTAATAATTGCGCCAAAAGTTGTTGCCTTCTCACCAAGCTGCTTGCCTATTGTCCTGTAGCCCATCCCAGCCTTGTGCAGGCCATTGTGGAGAGGTTGGAGTCTGTTTGATTGAGTGTGTGGACAGGTGTCTTTTATACAGGTAACAAGTTCAAACAGGTGCAGTTAATACAGGTAATGAGTGGAGAACAGGAGGGCTTCTTAAAGAAAAACTAACAGGTCTGTGAGAGCCGGAATTCTTACTGGTTGGTAGGTGATCAAATACTTATGTCAGGCAATAAAATGCAAATGAATTACTTAAAAATCATACAACGCGATTTTCTGGATTTTTATTTTAGATTATGTCTCTCACAGTTGAAGTGTACCTATGATAAAAATTACAAACCTCTACATGCTTTGTAAGTAGGAAAACCTGCAAAATCGGCAGTGTATCAAATACTTGTTCTCCCCACTGTACTTATTATGGACACAGTATGCTTTACATTAGTTATCTTGTTGTTATTAGTTGTTGTTAGTTGTTATTAGTCCCATCCTTCAGCTCCATTCAACACCTCCCATCTATCTCTTAACACCATCCATATTGGATTTATATTTGCCATATATTTTTCATATATTTTTCAACTGTACTGTGATGTTTTACAAAAGTTCTGAACCTTTCTATTCTCATTGTTTCTACAGATTATTAATTGAAAATAAACATTTTTGCTAAAAGTATTATTATATTATTGATCGATTGACTATGACTTTTCAGATCACCCAGTAGTGCTATCTGCAGGGTTAGCTCCAGGTAAATATTGCAATCCTTCACCCATTCCTGGACCTGTGACCAACAACAAGCTACAAATGGACAGTACCAAAACAAATGATCTAATGATTCTGTCTCTTCGCAGCTAAATCTGCAGAGCTGGGAAGAATGTATCCCCCATATAAATAACATTATATTGGTAGCAAGAATTTTCGATAATAATTTAAATTGAAAAATTATAAATTTTGAATCCGGCGTCGTTTTGCGTATCTGTTCATAAACACTATGCCATGGAATCGGTACGTCAAAAATCTCTTCCCAACTATTTTGCAATGTACAGTTGAAGTCGGAAGTTTACATACACCTTAGCCAAATACATTTAAACTGAGTTTTTCATAATTCCTGACATTTAATCCTAGTAAGAATTCCCTGTTTTAGGACAGCTAGGATTAACACTTTATTTTAAGAATATGAAATGTCAGAATAATAATAAAGAGAATGATTTATTTCAGCTTTTATTTATTTCATCACATTCCCAGTGGGTCAGAAGTTTACATACACTCAATTCGTTTTTTTGTAGCATTGCCTTTAAAATGTTTAACTTGGGTCAAATATTTAGGGTAGCTTTCCACAAGCTTCCCACAATAAGTTGGGTGAATTTTGGCCCATTCCTCCTGACAGAGCTGGTGTAACTGAGTCAGGTTTGTAGGCCTCCTTGCTCACACATGCTTTTTCAGTTCTGCCCACAAATGTTCTATAGGATTGAGGTCAGGGCTTTGTGATGGCCACTCCAATACCTTGACTTTGTTGTCCTTAAGCCATTTTGCCACAACTTTGGAAGTATGCTTGGGGTCATTGTCCATTTGGAAGACCCATTTTCGACCAAGCTTTAACTTCCTGACTGATGTCTTGAGATGTTACTTCAATATATCCACATAATTTTCCTTCCTCATGATGCCATCTATTTTGCAAAGTGCACCAGTCCCTCTTGCAGCAAAGCACCCCCACAGCATGATGCTGCCACCCCCGTGCTTCACGGTTGGGATGGTGTTCTTCGGCTTGCAAACCTTCCCCTTTTTCCTCCAAACATAACGATGGTCATTATGGCCAAACAGTTATATTTTTGTTTCATCAGACCAGAGGACATTCCAAAAAGTATGATCTTTGTCCCCATGTGAAGTTGCAAACCGTAGTCTGGCTTTTTTATGTCGGTTTTGGAGTAGTGGCTTCTTTCTTGCTGAGTGGCCTTTCAGGTTAATGTCGATATAGGACTCGTTTTACTGTGGATATAGACACTTTTGTACTTGTTGTTTCCTCCAGCATCTTCACAAGGTCCTTTGCTGTTGTTCTGGGATTGATTTACACTTTTTGCACCAAAGTACGTTAATCTCTAGGAGACAGAATGGGTCTCCATCCTGAGCGGTATGTCGGCTGCGTGGTCCCATGGTGTTTATACAGTGAGGGAAAAAAGTATTTGATCCCCTGCTGATTTTGTACGTTTGCCCACTGACAAATATATGATCAGTCTATAATTTTAATGGTAGTTTTATTTGAACAGTGAGAGATAGAATAACAACAACAAAATCCAGAAAAACGCATGTCAAAAATGTTAGAAATTGATTTGCATTTTAATGAGGGAAATAAGTATTTGACCCCCTCTCAATCAGAAAGATTTCTGGCTCCCAGGTGTCTTTTATACAGGTAACGAGCTGAGATTAGGAGCACACTCTTAAAGGGAGTGCTCCTAATCTCAGTTTGTTACCTGTAAAAACGACACCTGTCCACAGAAGCAATCAATTATTCAGATTCCAAACTCTCCACCATGGCCAAGACCAAAGAGCTCTCCAAGGATGTCAGGGACAAGATTGTAGACCTACACGAGGCTGGAATGGGCTACAAGACCATCGCCAAGCAGCTTGGTGAGAAGGTGACAAAAGAAACACAAAAGAACCGTCAATCTCCCTTGGCCTGGGGCTCCATGCAAGATCTCACCTCGTGGAGTTGCAATGATCATGAGAATGGTGAGGAATCAGCCCAGAACTACACGGGAGGATCTTGTCAATGATCTCAAGGCAGCTGGGACCATAGTCACCAAGAAAACAATTGGTAACACACTACGCCGTGAAGGACTGAAATCCTGCAGCGCCCGCAAGGTCCCCCTGCTCAAGAAAGCACATATACAGGCCCGTCTGAAGTTTGCCAATGAACATCTGAATGATTCAGAGGAGAACTGGGTGAAAGTGTTGTGGTCAGATGAGACCAAAATCAAGCTCTTTGGCACCAACTCAACTCGCCGTGTTTGGAGGAGGAGGAATGCTGCCTATGACCCCAAGAACACCATCCCCATCGTCAAACATGGAGGTGGAAACATTATGCTTTGGGGGTGTTTTTCTGCTAAGGGGACAGTACATTTACATTTACATTTTAGTCATTTGGCAGACGCTCTTATCCAGAGCGACTTACAGGAGCAATTAGGGTTAAGTGCCTTGCTTAAGGGCACATCGACAGATTTTTCACCTAGTCGGCTCGGGGATTAGAACCAGCGACCTTTCGGTTACTGGCACAACGCTCTTACCCACTAAGCTACCTGCCGCCCCAGACCAACAACTTCACCGCTAAGCTACCTGCCGCCCCAGTACAACTTCACCGCATCAAAAGGACGATGGACGGGGCCATGTACTGTCAAATCTTGGGTGAGAACCTCCTTCCCTCAGCCAGGGCATTGAAAATGGGTTGTGGATGGGTATTCCAGCATGACAATGACCCAAAACACACGGCCAAGGCAACAAAGGAGTGGCTCAAGAAGAAGCACATTAAGGTTCTGGAGTGGCCTAGCCAGTCTCCAGACCTTAATCCCATAGAAATTCTGTGGAGGGAGATGAAGGTTCGAGTTGCCAAACGTCAGCCTCGAAACCTTAATGACTTGGAGAAGATCTGCAAAGAGGAGTGGAACAAAATCCCTCCTGAGATGTGTGCAAACCTGGTGGCCAACTACAAGAAACGTCTGACCTCTGTGATTGCCAACAAGGGTTTTGCCACCAAGTACTAAGTCATGTTTTGCAGAGGGGTCAAATACTTATTTCCCTCATTAACATGCAAATCAATTTATAACATTTTTGACATGTATTTTTCTGGATTTTTTTGTTGTTATTCTGTCTCTCACTGTTCAAATAAACCTACCATTAAAATTATAGACTGATCATGTCTTTGTCAGTGGGCAAACTTACAAAATCAGCAGTACTCACTGTACTTGCGTGCTATTGTTTGTACAGATGAACATGGTACCTTCAGGCATTTGGAAATTGCTCCCAAGGATGAACCAGACTTGTGGAGGTCTACAATTGTTTTTCTGAGGTCTTGGCTGATTTCTTTTGATTTTCCCATGATGTCAAGCAAAGAGGCACTGAGTTTGAAGGTAGGCCTTGAAATACATCCACAGGTACACCTCCAATTGACTCAAATGATGTCAATTAGCCTATCAGAAGCTTCTAAAGCCATTACATCCTTTTCTGGACTTTTCCAAGCTGTTTAAAGGCACAGTGAACTTAGTGTATGTAAACCTCTGACCCACTGGAATTGTGATACAGTGAATTATAAGTGAAATAATCTGTCTGTAAACAATTGATGGAAAAATGACTTGTGTCATGCACAAAGTAGATGTCCTAAACGACTTGCCAAAATTATAGTTTGTTAAGAAGATATTTGTGGAGTGGTTGAAAAACAAGTTTTAATGACTCCAACCTAAGTGTATGTAAACTTCCGACTTCAACTGTATATGGGACGGCTGTCAATCCTTTGGTCCTTAAATGAAACAGGTATACTTTTTTATTTATCACAATTTTCTTTAACCAATTATGTTCTTTAATGCAGGGCCGACAGACAAGTTCCTTACTTTTTCCCCCTTCCACTTTTCTCTTCCATTTTTGCGGTAATGTTGCAATTATTTGGTCGTAATTTTGGGTAGAGCAGACATTTCCATATGTTTTTGTTTGCTGCATGTGCGACATAAGTCCACCAGTCCTACCTATTATATAATCTACGGTCTAAAATCTTTATTTGAGGTTTGTCTGGTTTCTCTGAGACTGTCTGGGATTCACCTGGAGAGCATAAAGCATTAACCAGATGGACCAGCACAGTCAGCAGAAGAGATGGAGAGATCCAGACAAGCCGTAGAGGTCTAGGTAAGGGAGTAGCTTGGAAGATAAGTATGACAAAGAGATGAGGGTGGGATTGATAGATAGAAGGAGGGAGAAACTAAGAAGGGTCCAAGTACACATAGTCAGTTACTAAACCAGGGCCCCCTCCCCACCAACCAGCCCCCACGGCAGCTGACCCACTTTCCCCTGGCTGCTATTTCCAGCCCCTCCTTAGGGACAGACGGAGAGAGGGATGGAAGAAATTTGAGAAAAAAGAGAGGTGCAGAAGAAAGGTAGAGTGAGGACTTTATATGAGAGATGCTCTGCAGAGGTTGGATCTGATGGACAGAGAAAGCCCATGGATCACCTCCCAGAAGCCAAGAGGCCAGGGAGGCCCTATCTGTAAATGGCAAAGCAGACATTTTATGGCAGCATCTCTATGACCATTCCAATGATCAAAGAAGTGTTCGAACAGAGTTCACATGACGACACTGTGGACCTTTTACCCTTATCATGGAATGGAAACAATGCTAATTTACCCTTCCCTATCTTATTCAGACTTTCACACATTTTATTTCACTTAACATAGGTGTGTGTGTCTGTTTGTGTGTGTGTGTGTGTGTGTGTGTGTGTGTCTATCCACTGAGACGACATCAGCCTCTGAGAACATACTGTAACTGAAAAATAGCACTCTGCTGTGAGGTCAAATAGGGACAAAAGTGAATAACAAGACTGCATCAAAACATAAGCAAACAAAGATATTCCCTACAGTGAACACAGTGTGTGTCATGAACACAGAGCTGGCCCTTCATCAAAACACACGTACATTTACATTTTAGTCATTTAGCAGACGCTCTTATCCAGAGTGACTTACAGTTAGTGAGTGCATACATTTTTTCATACTGGCCCCCCGTGGGAAACGAACACACAACCCTGGCGTTGCAAGCGCCATGCTCTACCAACTGAGCTACACAGGGAATACTTCATACTGGCAGAGAGAATACAAATAATCAACACAATAAAATGTACCTACATGAAACTAAGACTAACCACCACACCACAACAGATATCTTATGTGTGATCACGCTCTCCGTAGCCAATGTAAGTGAGACCTTTAAACAGGTTAACATTCACAAGGCCGCAGGGCCAGACGGATTACCAGGACACGTACTCAGAGCATGCGCTGACCAGCTGGCAAGTGTCTTCACTGACATTTCCAACCTCTCCCTGACCCAGTCTGTAATACCTACATGTTTCAAGCAGACCACCATAGTCCCTGTGCCCAAGAACGCCAAGGTAACCTGTCTAAATTACTATCGCCCCGTAGCACTCACATCTGTAGCCATGAAATGCTTTGAAAGGTTAGTCATGGCTCACATCAACACCATCATCCCAGACACTCTGGACCAACTCCAATTCGCATCCACAGATGACGTAATCTCACTTGCACTCCACACTGCCCTTTCCCAGCTGGACAAAAGGAACACCTACGTGAGAATACTGTTAATTGACTACATCTCAGCTTCAACACCATAGTGCCCTCCAAGCTCATCACTAAGCTAAGGACCCTGGGATTAAACACTTCCCTCTGCAACTGGATCATGGACTTCCTGACGGGCCGCCCGCAGGTGGTGAGGGTAGGCAACAACACATCCGCCATGCTGACCCTCAACACAGGGGCCCCTCAGGGGTGTGTGCTTAGTCCCCTCCTGTACTCCCTGTTCACCCACGACTGCGTGGCCACGCACAACACCATCATTAAGTTTGCCGACGACACAACAGTGGTAGGCCTGATCACCGACGATGAGACAGCCTACAGGGAGGTCAGAGACCTGGCAGTGTGGTGCGAAGACAACAACCTCTCCCTCAACATCCGCAAGACAAAGGAGCTGATCGTGGACTACAGGAAACGGATGACCGAGTACGGCCCCATCCACATCGACGGGTCTGTAGTGGAGCAGGTCGAGACCTTCAAGTTCCTATGTGTCCACATCACTAAGGAATTATCATGGTCCACACACACCAACACAGTCGTGAAGAGGGCATGACAATGCCTCTTCCCCCTCAGGAGGCTGAAAAGATTTGGCATGGGCCCTCAGATCTTCAAAAAGTTCTACAGCTGCACCATTGAGAGTATCTTGACTGGCTGCATCACCGCTTGGTATGGCAAATGCTTGGCAAGGCACTACAGAGGGTAGTGCGTACGGCCCAGTACATCACTGGGGCCGAGCTCTCTACAATCCAGGACCTCTATACCAGGCGGTGTCAGAGGAAGGCCCTAAAAATGGTCAAAGACTCCAGCCACCCAAGTCATAGACTGTTCTCTCTGCTACTGCACGGTACGCAGGTCGATGCACCAAATCTGGAACCAACAAGACCTTGAACAGCTTCTACCCCCAAGCCATAAGGCTGCTAAATAGTTAGTTAAATAGTTAACCAATAGCTACCCGGACTATCTGCATTGACCCTTTTTGCACTAACTATTTTGACTCATCACATACGCTGCTGTTACTGTTTGTTATCTATCCTGTTGCCTAGGCACTTTATTCCTACCTACAGTATATGCCACAGGAGGCTGCTGAGGGAAGGATGGCTTATAATAATGGCCGGAACAGAGCGAATGGAATGGCATCCAACACATGGAAACCATGTGTTTGATGTATTTGATACCATTCCATTAATTCCGCTCCAACCATTAACATGACCCCGTCCTCCCCAATTAAGGTGACACCAACCTCCTGTGGTATATGTACATATGTACCTCAATTACATCGTACCCCTGCACATCGACTCGGTACTGGTACCCCGTTTATATAGCCAAGTTCTCGTTACTCATTGTGTATTTATTCCTTGTGTTATTATTTTTCTATAATTTCTCTTTTTTTTCCTCTCTGCATTGTTGGGAAGGGCCTGTAAGTAAGCATTTCACTGTTAGTCTACCTGTTGTTTACGAAGCATGTGACAAATAAAATTGATTTGATATTCTTACTAAGTAATAGTACAGCCACTGTATACTTACCCTGAACAATGTAGAGTATAGATGTTGTCACACAACTGTATAGATATCAAGCTATTGTTAAAGTAACTATGGAGTGGGCATGCTAAGCCCATGCTGACCAGCGTGCTGCCCATATGTTTCTGTAGGTGAAAAAGAGCCGTCACACTGCGCTTCTGTTAAAGTGTCCCATGGCGCTTCTCGACAAAGCCGACACATTTTTCAAGCCGAGCCGACTGACTCAATCTCTGCTCCATGCATTTTTCATGATCCCTCTGCAGTCCATCCCCATTCCCCATCGTCAATGATAAAGAATTCAAAACCTTACAAAAATACTTATGTCTTAGAAGCTCATAAAATGTCCATGACTGCCACCACCATTATGATAGCTTCCTTCCTCAGGATCATTACCCTCTCGATACCTGCCCCCTCCTCTCCCTGTGTGTGAGACAGAAGAGAGAGGAGAGGGAAAACCATCACCTTTTTTAGATGATGTCAAACTGCATTTACCCTTTTTCAGAAGCGCTTAAAATGTGAATTACTGTGATTTAAGACTAAATTGTAAACATTAGGCATAAGAAATGGATCACTTAAACGACCAAACAAAACAAGGAGTAGATAGATAGGATCAGCCCCCTAATTGAGTTTAAATCGAATTAATGGTTAGGTTAATTGTTTTGTAAACCACACTCCGACTGAATCCATACATTGTTGTAACAAGTGTATTCAACCTTCACATAAATATCTAGGCTCTAGGCCTGGTTGTAACGGAAGACCGAAAAGCACAGAAAAATGTTTTGGATAAATGCTACGATTTGCAAATAACAGTGAACTGCTGATGGTAAGGCAAGGCCATGCATCTGCCAAAATATTTCACTCATGTGACACAAACATCACTGCATAAGCACAGTTAAAATACCTAAGAATCATTTCCTCCACACAGGTCTTTTGGGGGCCATAAACGAGATTTGGTTTTACCACACCTCATGGTAAAACATTTTAGTGGCCCCCATCTTGACAGTGGAGAGAAAACTGTAAAGTTTTAAAGTTCATTTCCTGCAATTCTACACATTTTGTCATGAGGCATAGAGAAAATGTTGCAGTTTTACAGCTAATTTAATGAAAATCTACCTATTTTGCCATGGGACTGAGATAAATGTTTGCCATTTTAAAGCGAATTTCCTGCAATTATACAATTTTTTTAATGACATGCCATGTTATGTCACGCCCTGACATAGAGAACTCTTGTTGGTTGAGTTCAGGTTGAGATCTATGTTATTAGATTCTATTTTTGGGATCTAGAATGTGTATTTCTATGTTTGGCCGGGCGTGATTCCCAATCAGAGGCAGCTGTCGCTCGTTGTCTCTGATTGGGGATCATGTTGCCTACCTTAGTTGTGGGATCTTGACTCGTGTTTGTGTTCTGGTTTGGCTTGTTGTGAGTATAGCCCATAGGTCTTCACGTTACGTTGCTTTTGTTGTTTTGTCAAGTGTTTATTTTCATTAATAAATATGTATGCATTCCACGCTGCACCTTGGTCTGACCCGTCTCTCAACGATCGTGACAGAAGATCCCACCACCAACGGACCAAGCAGCGTGCCCAGGAGCAGCAGACACCCTGGACACAGGTGGGGAAGTCATTTTGGACTTGGGAGGAGATATTGGCTGTTAGAGGACCCTGGGCGAAGGAGGAAGCCCAGGCAGGAGAGGAGAAACGGCGACCCAAAAGGACTCGGTCACGAAGAAAGCCCGAGAAGCAGCCCCAAGAAAAAAAATGGGGGGGGGGGGGGGGGGGGGGTACGGCCCGTACCTGCTCCCCGCACCAAACCAGTGGTGCATGTCGCCAGCCCGGTACGCCCCGCACGTGCTCCCCGCACCAAACCAGTGGTGCGTATATCCAGTCCGGTACGGCCCGTACCTGCTCCCCGCACCAAACCAGTGGTGCGTGTCTCCAGTCCGGCACGACCCGTGCCTGCCCCTCGCACCAGACCAGTGGTGCGTGTTCCCAGTCCAGCCCCAGTCAGCGGCTCCACTCCGGACCCAGAGCAGTCCGCTCCACCGGTGCCCAGTACAGCTCCGGTCAGCGGCTCCACTCCGGAGCCAGAGCATTCCGCTCCACCGGTGCCTAGTTCAGCTCCGGTCAGCGGCTCCATTCCAGTGCCAGCAATACGCTCCACCGGTGCCCAGTCCAGCTCCGGTCAGCGGCTCCACTCCAGACCCAGAAGTCAGCCCCTCTCCAGGGTCGGGGCCTCCCACACCAGAGGCAGATGTCGCACGTTGTCTCTGATTGGGGATCATACTTAGGTAGCCATGTTGCCTACCTTAGTTGTGGGATCTTGACTCGTGTTTGTGTTCTGGTTTGGCTTGTTGTGAGTATAGCCCATAGCACTTCACGTTATGTTGCTTTTGTTGTTTTGTCAAGTGTTTATCTTCATTAATAAATATGTACGCATACCACGCTGCACCTTGGTCTGACCCGTCTCTCAACGATCGTGACATGTTAATATGATATCTGAGTGAGAATGACTAGCAAAACCAAATGGGGGCCCCCTGCGTGCCCCGTCTATATTCGGCCATGATTACTACAAGATAGATAGCTGGCTAGACTAACTACCAATCCAAAAATTGTTAGCCGACATGGCTAATTGAGTGACTGTCAGTGACTGACATAACAAGAGAAAAACTAAATTTCTAAATTGCACCTGGTGTATTCTACTATTCTTACTCTCAATAGTAAGTTGAGACCACAACTGAGTTCCTAAAATATATATACACACTACTGTTCAAAAGTTTGGGGTCACTTCGAAATGTCCTTATTTTCAAAGAAAAGAAAAAAAATGTGTCCATTAAAATAACATCAAATTGATCAGAAATACAGTGTAGACATTGTTAATGTTGTAAATGGCTATTGTAGCTGGAAACGGCTGATTTTTAATGGAATATCTACATATGCGTACAGAGGCCCATTATCAGCAACCATCAGTCCTGTGTTCCAATGGCACGTTGTTTGCTAATCCAAGTTTATCATTTTAAAAGGCTAATTGATCATTAGAAAACCCTTTTGCAAATATATTAGTACAGCTGAAAACTGTTGTGCTGATTAAAGAAGCAATAAAACTGGCCTTCTTGAGACTAGTTGAGTATCTGGAGCATCAGCAATTGTGGGTTCGATTACAGGCTCAAAATGGCCAGAAACAAATAACTTTCTTCTGAAACTCGTCAGTCTATTCTTGTTCTGAGAAATGAAGGATATTCCATGCGAGAAATTGCCAAGAAACTGAAGATCTCGTACAACGCTGTGTCCTACTCCCTTCACAGAACAGCGCAAACTGGCTCTAACCAGAATAGAAAGAGGAGTGGGAGGCCCCGGTGCACAACTGAGCAAGAGGACAAATACATTAGTGTCTAGTTTGAGAAACAGACGCGTCACAGGTCCTCAACTGGCAGCTTCATTAAATAGTACCCGCAAAACACCAGTCTCAACGGCGCCTGTGCCTTTTATTTCAGCTCATGAAACATGGGACCAACACTTTACATGTTGCATTTATATTTTTGTTTAGTGTACTGTATTTTTATTTATTTATTGGGGTCCCCCTAGCGACCACATATGCCTGGAACCGGCCCTGCCTCCACAGGCCAAAACTGTGAGCCAGATGAACACTAACTTGGGAAGTTTTCTGGTTTTGAATGAATAAAGTATTAATTTTCAGACCTTTAGTTTCCAGAGGTTCTGAAGACCATCATGACAACATCCTCACCCACAAAGCCAACATACTATTTTAATTAATTGTTGCAATTCATTTAGACAAATGTTCAGCTTCTACCTTGAGCTTGTATTGATTTTAAAGCAATCATGAATCTGTACGCTTCATGAATCATTAATCTCTAGTTAAAGCAATCCTGTCATCGCCACATAAATTATACAATTCATTCGGAAAGTATTCAGACCCCTTGACTTTTTCCACATTTTGTTACGTTACAGCCTTATTCTAAAATTGATTAAATAAAAAAAAACATCCTCATCAATCTACACACAATACACCATATGACAAAGCGAAGAGGTTTTTGGAAATTATAGCAAATGTATTCAAAATAAAAAACAGAAATACCTTATTTACATAAGTATTCAGACCCTTTGCTATGAGACTCGAAATTGAGCTCAGGTGCATCCTGTTTCCATTGATCATCCTTAAGATGTTTCTACAACTTAATTAGAGTCCACCTGTGGTAAGTTCAATTGATTGGACATGATTTGGAAAGGCACACACCTGTCTATATAAGGTCCCACAGTTGACAGTGCATGTCTGAGCAAAAACCGGTCGAAGGAATTGTCCATAGAGCTCCGAAACAGGATAGTGTCGAGGCACAGATCTGGGGAAGGGTACCAAAAACGTTTTGCAGCATTGAAGGACCCCAAGAACACAGTGGCCTCCAACATTCTTAAATGGAAGAAGTTTGGAGCCAACAAGACTCTTCCTAGAGCTGGCCACCCGGCCAAACTGAGCAATCGGGGGAGAAGGGCCTTGGTCAGGGAGGTGACCAAGAACCCGATGGTCACTCTGACAGAGCTCCAGAGTTCCTCTGTGGAGATGGTATAACCTTCCAGAAGGACTACCATCTCTGCAGGGCTCCACCAATCAGGCCTTTATGGTAGAGTGGCCAGACGGAAGCTACTCCTCAGTAAAAGGCACATGACAGCCAGCTTGGAGTTTGCCAAAAGGCACCTAAAGGACTCTCAGACCATGAAAAACAAGATTCTCTGGTCTGATGAAACCAAGATTGAACTCTTTGGCCTGAATGCCAAGCGTCACATCTGGAGGAAACCTGGCACCATCCCTACGGTGAAGCATGGTGGTGGCAGCATCATGCGGTGGGGATGTTTTTCAGCGGCAGGGACTAGGAGACTAGTCAGGATCGAGGCAAAGATTAACAGAGCAAAGTACAGAGAGATCCTTGATGAAAACCTGTTCCAGAGTGCTCAGGACCTCAGACTGGGGCGAAGGTTCACCTTCCAACAGGACAACAACTCTAAGCACGCAGCCAAGACAACGCAGGAGTGGCTTCGGGACAAGTCTCTGATTGTCCTTGAGTGGCCCAGCCAGAGGCCGGACTTGAACCCGATCTAACAACTCTGGAGGGACCTGAAAATAGATGTGCAGCGATGCTCCCCATCCAACCTGATAGAGCTTGAGAGGATCTGCAGAGAAGAATGGGAGAAACTCCCCAAATACATGTGTGCCAAGCTTGTCGCGTCATACCCAAGAAGACTTAAGGCTGTAATCGCTGCCAAAAGTGCTTCAACAAAATACGGAGTAAAGGGTCTGAATACTATTGTAGATGTGATATTTCCGTTAGAAAAAATTTTGGGGCTAAATTTTCTAAAAACCTGTTTTTGCTTTGTCATTATGGGGTATTGTGTGTAGATTGACGAGGGGGAAAACTATCTAATCCATTTTAGAATAAGGCTGTAACGTAACAAAATGTGGAAAAAGTCAAGGGGTCTGAATACTTTCCGAATGCATTATATATATATATATATATATATATATATATATATAATACATGATGGTTGATATAGATCAGAATATCATTAAACAACATTTATTATTAGAACAAAGTAAGAAGTAGGTTTCAGTGGGTTAAAATGCAAGGATGCCTACCCCCCTGTTCCCTTAAGCATTCCATAACAATAAACATGATCTAAAGGGAGTCTTCACATCAAGAAGACCACCTCAGGAGTAGATCATTGGATTTCAAAGTCACAATATCAATATTTAGATTCATATTTTAATAGCATTCCCTTGGTTCATTGGTATAATTTTATGAACACAAGAAATAACACAAAATAAACTAATTATCGTAAACTATCCTGACTAGATCTCTCCTTGCATTCATTATGTTTTCAAAATGACATTTGACCAGATCTGTCTTTGCTCAGAGAATCATGTAGGGGAGAGATGGAGGAGGGAAGAGAGGAGCGGGGGAGTTGTGGTAGCCAGCCAGACATAAACACAGTAAGGTTCAGGAGTAGCATTATGAACAGAGCAGAGGGGAAGCAGACAAACAGAGTGTGCATCCCAAATGGCACCCTATTCCTTATACAGATGTAGGATCTTAATTTGAGCCAGTTTGCTACAGCAGGAAAATCATCCTGCAGAAACAGGAAATGTGAATTATTATGTGGATTATAATTAATGAGAATTTTTGTAGGTTTTGATACATTTTTAAAAAGGGAAAATCAAGTCAAATGTAAAAGTGGAAATTACAAACTTAAAATACACTACAGGTTTTACATTTCCTGCATTGCAGGAAAGTTATCTTGCAACAGAGTGATCTAATTAAGATCCTACATAAGATTCTACAAAAGTAGTGCACTATATAGGGAATAGGGTGCTGTTTGGGACACAGTCAGACAGAGGGGATAAGACACCATTAAAAGTACAGATTGGAAGTCTGTCTCCCTCTCCAATCAAACGGCAGGCAAGGTGACAGCTAGCTCCCTGTAATACCCTGCTCTGCCTGCTGTCCAGAAAGCCTCTGTCTCTCTGAGGAGAGCAAACACCTTGCTGTTTCAAGCCATTAGAGTAGACAAGACAACATAGATTATCTTATTAAATTAGTGACCTTGTTTGTTTGTGTATATCTTCTTTCCACGTGTCTGGGCTGGTTGTCCCTCTAATGATGGTACTAAATGATGGTGCATGAGCATGTCTAGAGACCTGTTTAGTCCAGAATACAGGAAATTATGCCCATACATGGATAGTAGCCATTTGATTACATCACATCCAACTCAAACCCAACTCAGACAACTCTTTACCTTACCAGAAAGAACAGCAGTTTCCATGGAAACAGCTGAATGAGAGAGTTAAAGACTTGGAAAGGGGGAGGAGGGGGCCGTGAGAGCTGACATACTGACCTATTGTTGTGTTAGCTAAACTCTTTGATTGCAGGAAGTAATGTGGCCTTAGATACAGGTGAGACGGGGGTAGAGTATGGGTAGGAGGGACGTGTGTAATTGCACTGGGGTGTATTGTGTTGGGGAGAAAGGGGTATCATTACACAGCGAATAAGACAGAATGGGCTGTTATGCTGTGGTGAGAAACAATGTGATTTAGGTTTGTGATACTTAATGATATAGAAAGCATCCGGTGATCACTGTGATGCTTGGTAGCCAGTGGCATCATCAGTGTAGTTGATTGACAGGGGCCATTGCCCCCTGCTACTGATGTCAAAGGTTTATCTTTAGAAAGTCTCTGCTGTATGATGACAGGATTTAGTCCCTACATCATGGCAACAGTCGCCACTGCCTTTGCCTTAGCTCCGTCCCCCTGTCCTTCTAATTGGCCAATCATTTGCATTTGTGGTATCCTTTTATTAGAAAGATCTGTCGGCTGTCACTCAACAACAGACTGGCTGTGAAACACTGGTGACAGAAAGTCTGTTAGAGGAACATGTCAAGCCTCTATCCCTCCCTCCCTCTCTTCCTCCTTTCCCCTTTTCTTCCTTTCTCCCTCTATCCCTCTCTCCCTCCCTGGCCCTCTGTCTCTTGAGGAAACAAGTGTGAGGATATTGTGGGGGTGGCAAGGAGCAAGCAAGTGTGCATCTTGAAAACAGCAGTGACAACCAACGTGGTTGTCACAGCAACAGAAATCCTCTCTCAGCAATCCAGTGTAGACTGTGTGTGTGTGTGTGTGTGTGTGTCCCTCTTCCTCTGTGTACACTGTGCTGAGCTAATGGGAGAAGAGAGAGAGAGTGTATGAGGGAATGGGAAAACAGAAATAAAATGAGAGTGACCTATATTGTTGAATCCCGCTGCCAGACAGTTTAGCACATATGTTCCACAATCCCATCATTCCTAAAAGACTTGCCAGTGTGTCTACAGTAGTGTATATGTGCATGTGTTCGTGTGTGTTTGTTATCTTTATCATTATTTACATTTCAATTAAAATGGCGGTGTACACAAGTGAATGATTGCTTATGGCTCTAATCTGAGAACAATTACATTGGCTTCCGCTTAAAGAGAGTTCAGTCAGTGCGCTGCTCAGCTCACATTCACATCGGTGAGTGAGTGATTACTTATCTCTGTGACGGGTGACTGAGCACTGTGGGTCTATCACAGGAGAGATATTACACAGACCATTGTTTAAGGGACTTTAATCTGAAAGTGCATAACAACAACAGTAGGTGAACAACTCACTAAGTGACAATGCAGACAGGACTCTGTTTAGGAACTGCATCAGTGGAGGGAGAATTGTCTCAGTGTTGTTTACTGTTTGCATCTAGATCAAACAGTTGGCTATCAGAAGGAGGTTTCCTGCCAGGATCAAGCTTATCAGGCAGTCATACACCAGGTGCGTAGGCACCGAGGGCCTCGGTGGGCCCGGGCCCACACACTGGGGAGCCAGGCCCACCCAATCAGATTGAGCAACAACAACGAAAAACTCTTTACTTGTCAGTGTTCCAAACTGGACATTATTTGTCTTGCAGAAAGTTAGCTGTTCTGTTTTTGGTCCACCCAAATTTCCACTGGCCCACCCACGAATGAATTTCTGGCTATGGCACCGTCATACACTATTGATAGAGTATTAATGCAGTATCACTGAGGCTGAGGAAAAGGACAGGCCAAAACAGTCCAGTTGGTAAAGATCAGAGGCCTCTGTGATATTTGGGCAATTCCACTGTAACAGAATTACGCTGAGACTCAGATTTTTCCATTTACAATGTATGCCAAACAAAAACCATTGATTTCAAAGTTTAACAAACCATACAACTCTATGCAAAATGACTATTTAAAACAATTTACACAGTAAAAAAAATCATTCACTGGAAGAACTGTGCAGATGCAAAGTTTGGTAACATAATTAATTGGTAACATAGTTTTATTCTGTTACCAAACATATCTGCACAGGTCATCCTGCAAATCAGTTTTTGTACCATTTTCAGTGGAAATTGTTAAAAGTAGTCCTTGTGAGTAGAGTTATATGGTTTGTTAAAGGCCCAATGCAGTCAAAAACGTGATTTTCCTGTATTTTTAAAAATATATATTTCCACACTATGAGGTTGGAATAATACTGTGAAATTGTGAAAATGATAATAATGCCTTTTTAGTGTTTTGGTGGGATGGAGTTTTGGCCTACCTGGTGGCCTGCCTCCCCACTCAGACCACTCCCAGAGAGTCCTAGCAAAAATCTTGCTTGAGAAATTGCTGTTTGCTAAGAATAATTGTTTCTTATTTTTTACCATTTTAATTGAAAACAATCAGAGTAGGTTACTTAATTGTTACCCAGAAATTATTTGATATTGAGATAAAAAGGACTGCATTGGACCAGCGTAATTCCGTTCCAATAGAATTGCCCATTTGTAATGATCAAACCCTTTGAGAAGTACAGTCTATCCCATTGTCATAGGAGATCTCTGATGTGACTTTGTGTCAGACTATGTGGTGTAAAGTATTAATTACATTGTTTATTTTGCAGCAGAACTGTCTACTGTCTACCATGGTGGCAACTCAAGCCTCTGTGTCATACATGCTTTGCAGACTGACAGTACTGTTTCTAGTTTGACTAATCAATAGAAGGCAACAAGATGTCTGACAAATGCTCCACTGAGATAAGAGAAAGGCTCCAGGAAATATCCAGAAAAATACATTTTTCATGGTTCTATCAATGAATTTTGCAATTCTACAGTCAAATCCATACTATGATAGGAGTGTAACCACAACAGACTGGAGGGTTTGACATTGATAGAATTTAAGATTTGGTGTCTCTGTCTCAAAACGTGCTCTATCAGAGACATAGACATGAAGCTCAGAATGGAGTTATTGGACATCTTTAATACTGTTTGTAAGGCATAGGTCTACTTAGCATGGCCTTCACTTTTCAATCACCATTAATAGCCTGTGAATCTGAAACCTGAATACATTCACACTGAGTAACTTTTCCTTCATTAGGTCCCCCCCCCCCCCCCCAGAGAGGACAGAAGAAAGCAAAGACAGACTACGTGTTTTGAAAACAGGGCTAGATTCTGTACCTGAAGCAGGACCAGGGCCTTCGCCTCGCTCACAGAAAGCTTTTCAGTCACATAAAAAGGAATATCAGGGGTCGCCTAGCAATAAAAGGAAGGAAAACAATCTGGATGTTGATGCCTAACTTTCTGTTTCCCTCCTGTGGGCTGCTGGTTTGGGCTTTGGTAATGAGGGCATGGGGACCTGAGCCAGTGTCCTCAGTTTTCTGCAGCTCAGGCCCTGACAAGCCCAGTCAGTGAGACATATTGTTGTCTGAGCAGATGATAACGGTGGGCCCTCCCTCCTCCTCTCTAATCATAGGCTAATTGACTGAGCTAGATTTGGGAACATGGCTTATTAGCGTCATTTCTCACAACAAGGTATTGGAGACAACCTGCCATACAGGAGGTCAGACACTCAATAAACCCAGATTTACTGGCCTGCTGTACACACATGCACACACACACAAATGAATGAATTAAGTTCCATGGATGGTAGGGAAGTTTGCTGATGACATTTAGGCCTAATGTCAATGCATCCCTCTGTAAGCCCTGATAACTGATAACTTTGATGTCTGCTGCCAGCCAGAGGTGGATGTGTGCACACTTACCACTGTGGGCGCTAAACCACCGGGGTGCAATGTGCAGGGGCAAGGTGTCTGCCAACGACCCTCGGGATCCCAGATAGAGCATACCGTCCGTGTGATGCCCGCCGCCCGTTTCCTGGTAGCCGTTACCATGGGCAGCGTTAGTGCCAGACCCCCCTCCTGCCCTGTCCGAGCCAGTTCCTCTGGGGGTATAAAACCCAAAGGGCACCGCAGGACTATGTTCTATGCCCATCCCAACCACTGAACTCACTGAGCGGCTGCGTAGCCCCATAGTGCCACCCGGTCGGTAGTGCCCAAAGTGGGCCGAGGGCGGCACTGCGCTGTCATCCGTCGAGACACCGGGAAAAGCACCCCGGGGCCGCCCTGCCGTACTTTGCTTGCCCCCCATCCAAAGCACCCGAGCAAAATGGGTGGGGGTTGTTGAAACGGGGGCTCCGCAGAGAGTCGAGCCGTCACTGGAATCGCCCCCGACACGACTGTCTGCAGTGGACTTCTCGCCCTTTGCCAGAGACAAAACGGCAGCTAAAAAAAATGCTGGGTTGTCAAGTCTGACTAACAGACGCAACAGCCCATTTCCCTGACCGCAACATGAGCGACTTAATGTTTTGATTCACATCAAACGAGAAAAGCTTGAATCTATAGGATTGTGTCAAACGAATGACAGAAGAAAAAAAAACGCAACACGTTTTCCCCTCACAGATAATGACAGGACAGCCTGCCCAAATCACAACAGGGAAGACAAACACAAATCGCAACAAACGTATCCGACAGTCGCGCTTCTCCGCAGTAGGCTACCACCTTTACATGTATTATTTTGCCTTGACTGACTCAGCTGATCATAGCAATGACAACTGTTGCTGTCTGTCTGCCAGTATGTCTTTCCAACGATGTGTGTCCGAGTCCACTTGTTCTCCGGTTCCCGGAGATTCGGGTCAATGTATGCCGCTCCCCTGCACTATCATATCCGCGCGCTCGCTCTCACTCTTGCTGCTGGTAGACAATGGCGTTCAGTGCGCATACTCGGATTATCAATGTAAAGACAGCGTGAAGAGGGAATATACAGTACTCTATATTCTTAATCACGATGAATTGATTAACAGATTGTCCTCATTGTCTATCTCTTCTAGAAATCCAACGATGGCTCTTGTCTGGTTCGCCCCCGGCTGCCAAATCAGACAAATGCAGTGTGAGCAGAGGACGAGATGTGACCTGCTGTCATAACCAAGTTAACATGCAGATGGCACAGCTTTCATATTTCTCACCATATACTGAATTGTTGAGATTATTGACTCATGAATAATTATGTGATTAGGCCTACTAAATCTCATCCTGATAATTAGGAGCCTAGATGTCTTTCCCCCCAAATAGGCCTAATTGTTATTGGCATAAGTTATAGCCTAACTGTTTATTAGCCTACTGATAAATAAACTATAAATAAACAAACAATGAACACTATTCACCATTTATAAACCCTGTAAACAATTTGTAAAGTGCCCGAATGTAAAACTGACTACCACTGTGTGTTTCTTAAAAAACAATCAATGACTGAGAAACGGTTTATCATGCCATGCATGGCGTCACAGTTGAAAGACAAAGGATGGCCTCTACCTACCAAATGAGTCAGCGGTATTTACTTTGCCTTCTTTTGTGTGGGTGTGCCATGAAACACACATCAAATGTGTGCGTGTGTGTGTTAACGATGATCTCTTTGATTTAGGCTACACGGGATACAGTTAAGCCTATGTGTCTGAATGTGTGGGTTTGAGTGACAGCACAGTCAGGGGTGACAGACACCTGTCACTCCCATTCACTCATGCATGCATAAAGCCAGTCTAACTCACAGTATCTCAGATGGTCGTATGTCAGAGCAGCTTACCGATCACTGCACCTGTACACAGCCCATCTGTAATTAGCCCACCCAACTACCTCATATTGTTATTTATTTTGCTCATTTGCACCCCAGTGTCTCTATTTGCACATCATCTTTTTTTTTTTTTGTTGTTTTAATCGCACTGCTTTGGTTTATCTTGGCCAGGTCGCAGTTGTAAATAAGACTTGTTCTCAACAAAATCAATTAATTAACAACAACAAAAATTAGGCCATCCTTGTTGATGTGGTCATTAAACATAGCCTACACACACAGACGTACAGGCGCACACACACACTAGGGAAATCTTTAAACTACTTCATACAAAGGCGACATTGGGACCTCCACTGGCTAAATGAGTAATTGCAAGTTACTAATCACTCACCATCACTGAAAATACATGTCAACTCAGATAACCATGCTGTTCAGTCTATCTTCAGATTGAACAACGATAGTGTGAGACTATAGACAGGTGAGACTATTGTAGCCTATATGATCAGTGAAAAATATTGCTAGTCTGCTAATAATGCATGGCGATTTGAGAAAAATTCTACAAAAAAAGAAGAAAAAATAAGCATTAAGCACATCACTTTCATGTGCTCTTCTCATAAGAACCAGTAATTATAGACTAAATGTTTAGAAAGCTCTCTGTTATATCCGATTGTTTTGACTGTCGAAAATCGATTGCTCTCGCCTGGCTCAAAAGTGGACTGTTGCGCATGTCGGGTCATTTCGAAGTTTCGCGCCAAACTAGGGAAGCAAAGTGTAAACAGTCCCACACAGCAGAAGTTAGCTAGCTCGCTAATTACTTGGCGGATACCTACAGTGAGTTTTTAATGGAGACACAGTCGTACCTTCCCGTGCCTCCTGGGGTGGGGATGGAAGAGAATTTCTTCTCTCTTGACGACATTTTGCTTTCTCACGAGAGGCTACCTAGTCGGACAGAATGCACATTTCCCCGACTTGGATTCCTGGAGAAATCGAGTGACTCGCGAGACATTCAAGAGGTCAGTCGAACATGTGAAACAATGTAGAGCTAGCTAAACATTCCATCCGATAATGTTACTGTGTAGCCGCTGATCTCATTACCTGTGCCCCCGTGGCTATTAGCTAACTAAGTAGTTATTATTGTAGTTATCCACTTGGAATTCCTGCTGGTTATTCAGTCACCTCGTCCACTAGCCCTTGATCATGACTCTCAGTTCCATTACAGATAAGTCACTGCAGGAAAGCAAAAGGACGTTGAAAAGACATCTAAAATACGTATTTTCCAGACGTTGAAGTTAACTTCAATTTAGGTTCTGAATGAAAGTTGAAAATAAACCAAACAGACGTTTATGATTGTTTCAGATTTGTTCCGGACCGGACCTAAAACAATGTCTGTGAACGTGGAAATCAAGGCTGGTCCGGACTGCACCAAAAACAAATCATTCAAAAGACATCGGCTCGTGCTTACTGGGGTGTAGCCTACGATGTCAGCCAGCAATGGAATTTTATGAATGCCTATCCATGTGGTAGGCCCACCGTTTGTAAAACAGGCCGATACATTGGCTTTATTAGTCCTGATTCCTGTGACAAATCAATTAGGCTATTTAAGCTCTGAATATCAGCAACCCAACTTTATCAGAAGCTATCGTGAGCTTATTTTCAGCGTGTTTACACAGAAGTATTTTCTTTTTCGCTATGATCAGCTTGTCAAAAATGGACAGATACAAACTTGAAACCAATATCGGGCTACTTATTCACCAGACATGCGCAATTAGCTTGTTCATAAGGTTAATTAATTAGTAATGTCAACTATTGAAAAACACTTTGTTTTGCTAAATTGTTTTTATTAGGGGTTCAAGTAGCGAAGAAATGCTATAGCGGTGGGTCAAATAGGGAAGTAAATGGAAATAAATGTGCCAAAATTATATAATTACTCCTGTCTGTACAGAAATAAATAGAATCATTCAAAATACTACACCCATGACTTAGCCACAGAGGATTCGAGGATCATTAGCTTATTTAAAAAAATTGCTGTGGATTGTTTCAAATCACAAGGTGGGCCTATGCCTATTTGGGAATCACCACAATTTGGGCAGCGCGTTTGGCAATATGCCTAGCTGATACAAACGTTTTAGTTTCTCAAAATCATTGTCACGTGGTTAATCATAAAAATCGAAATTAAAATGATACATCTAAAAGTTAAATCCACTAATGCAATATCACCAGCCTTTGCCATATGGACACTTTGATACACCATTGTCGTCTAAAGAAATGAGCGCATGGGACTCATAATCAATTTTTTAATTTCGATTTTTATGATTAACCACTTGACAATGATTACTAAAACTAAAACTTTATTATTGAAATGAAAACTGTTACACACAAATGTGCGTATGAAAATCATAACTGGCACGCAGAATGGTAGAAATGGTTGGATAAATTGTAAGCTTCCCCAAACTTGAAACTTGCGCGCCACCTATGAAGTCTTTATAAAATAAAGGAGCTGCAGGAGAAATCCTGCTCAAAATAGGCTCTGTGGGTGTGTGATAGTTGTGTTGGATAAATAAGATACATGACTAATGAAAATACTCACAGGCCAATTTAATTCTACAAAATTATGCAAATTAACCTATAGACCGATAAGCATGATGGTCAAATGTATTTCCATTGAATGGTATTTCCATCAATAAATAAAAAGCATTACTTTTCAATGGGAATTTTTTCTCCCAGTCATTTTGGCCGGTAACAGGATTTATTTTATTTTATTTATCAGCCTTTTATTTTTCCCGCCAAAAGACAGCAATTGCCGGCTAATGGAAACCCTGTCAGGGATATGATTCTAGCTAAGTTGTAAAGTATGGTTCAGTTCGGCACATGGTGGCACTGTTTTACAGGAAAAACATTTGATGCAAGCTCATTGGCTTGTAGCGGCCTTGTTGTTTGAGCAAGAGTCTTGGAAAATATTGCGTTTTGAAGACGTCCATCCATAGTCTCTATATACCAAATTTGGTGCGACTGGTCCAGCAGTTCTGGAGAAGATGTTTAAAGTAGTTAGCATCATTAGAAATGGTCCAAAATGCATCATCACCACGTTTTTTTCTTTTTCTGATATTTGGCAAGCGTGGTAAAGAGTACAGAAGTAGCTCATCCTAGGGCAACATGTCCAATTTGTCCTGATGGTGGCACAGTGGGCCCACAGCTTGAACCCTGGCATTGCTGCTTGCAACTATATTTCTCATTATTAATAGGAGACATATAAGCACCCACAAATTGTGTAGCAATAGGCCCATATAATGTTATCAAGTCATGAGCCTCATGAGTAGCCAAAATCAAATGCATAAATGATAAAGTACAAATGATAAAGTACGACTGGGGTTTATATATAAATGCCTGGAGCATTTCAATTTTGGAGAATCTATTATAAAATGGGTTAAAATCATATATAGTAACCCTAAGTGTAAAATGGTAAATAATGGCTATTTCTCAGAAAGTTTGAAACTGTCAAGAGGAGTGAAACAAGGTTGTCCATTATCAACATATCTATTTATTATGGGCATCGAGATGTTGGCTATTAAAATCAGATCCAACAATAATATCAAGGGATTAGAAATCCAGGGCTTAAAATCAAAGGTGTCATTGTACACTGATGATTCATGTTTTCTTTTAAATCCACAACATGAATCCCTCCACAGCCTCATAGAGGATCTAGATACATTTTCTAACCTCTCTGGATTACAACCAAATTATGATAAATGTACTATATTACGTATTGGATCACTAAAAAATAAAATTTTTACATTACCATGTAGTTTACCAATAAAATGGTCTGATGGTGATGTGGATATACTTGGAATACATATCCCAAATGAAATAAAAAATCTCACTCCAATACATTTTAATAGAAAGTTAGCAAAAATAGATAAGATCTTGCTACCATGGAAAGGTAAATACCTGCCAATTTGTGGAAAAATCACCCTGATTAACTCTTCAATATTATCCCAGTTCACCTATTTGCTTGTGGTCTTGCCTACGCCTAGCGAACAGGGAAGAAAAAAAAAATATATATATATATATATATATATATATTTTTCCCTTTATTACTTTCCAACCCCACCACCCCTTCCCTAATTGGAGTAAACTAGTGAACAACAATGCTTAGGCCTCTACTTCCAGCTTATTTGTTATATTTTTATATATATATAAAACATATGGGAGATTGGAAGTGATGCAGACAATTACATTGATGGAATTTACAATCTATCTGCAATATTAAAGCTGATCTCCCCCCCCCCCCCCCCCCCCCCCCCCCCCAAAAAAAAAGAAGAAGAAATAATTCAAATGCATATTGTGGAAATGTTTGTGACTGTATACACTGTGGCCAGTTTATTAGGTACACCACCTCGTTCACAAAAATTGTTAGCTCCTGTGACAGTGAGTCACGTGGCTTGCTATATAAATCAGGCAGACAGGCATCAAGGCATTCAGTTACTGTTCGATTGAACGTTAGAATGGGCAAAATGAGTGACCTAAGCCAGTGCTTCTCAAACCTCTTCTCGGGGACCCCCAGCCATTTCATCTATTCAAGAGCTAGCACACCTGATTAAACTTGTCAACTAATTATCAATCCCTTGACAATGTGAATCAGGTGAGTTAGTTGAGGGCTACTACAAAATTGTGAAACGTCTGAGGAGAGGTTTGAGAACCAATGACCTGAGCGACTTGGAGCTTAAGCAGCATGAGTCCTGCCTGGTTTCAATGGTACAGGCTGGTGGCGGTGGTGTAATGTTGTGGGGTATGTTTTCCTGGCACACGTTAGGTCCCTTGATTCCAATTGAGCAATGTGTCCATGCCCCAAAGAATTCAGGCAGTTCTGGAGGCAAAGGGGGTCCGAGCCGGTACTTGATGGGTGTACCTAATAAACTGGCCACATGGTATATATCTAGCTAGCGAAGTCCTTTTTATCCATCACCTAAAGAACGTTTTTCTCCGGTCTTTCAGGGTACAAAGATGGAGATGCCCCTGTTCCTGGCAAAGGGCTTGTATGAGAGGAAGAGGCGTGTTGTCTCAGTGGAGCTGCCTAAGGTGTACAAAGAGGGCTGGAGGACTGTGTTCAACGCAGACCCCACTGTAGTAGACCTTCACAAGATGGGGCCCTATTACTATGGCCTCGGCTCCCAGATGCTGCACTTTGACAGCCCTGAGAATCCAGAGATTGCCCAGGCGGTGCTTCAGGTGAGTACAGCACATAAACATTTATACCCTCTGTTAAGAATTTCTCTGCAGTCCCTCTGTTATCACCATCTCACTGCTCACCCAACTCTCTTCTAACCATATCTCCTGCCTCATTGCTTCTACTACTACCATTGCCAAATTATTTATCACTAATCTTTATCTATTTGTACACTTTTAGTTGTACAATATCAGTAGAATGTTTATGAATGAGTCACCACCCTGGCCAAGTGGTTGGACATGCTGACAAACCCATTCAGTGTTATGTCCCATAGTCGGCCACTAGGTGGTGCCATGTGATCTTGTCATCATTGACTAACAGGCTGTGTGTAGTGTTGTTTTGTTGCTGGGCAGACTGACAAATCACATCAGTCATCTTTGAAAATCAATGACTTCTAGTGAATCCAACAGGATTATTAGTAGTTTTTCTCTGCATCCACGAAGGATGACTGCATTTCATCAAATGTTTTTATTCACCTCTTCTATCTCCCTGAGGTACAGTTGAAGTCAGAAGTTTACATACACCTTAGCCAAATACATTTAAACTCAGTTTTTCACAATTCCTGACATTTAATCCTAGTAACAATCCCCTGTCTTAGGTCAGTTAGGATCACTACTTAATTTTAAGAATGTGAAATGTCAGAATAATAGTAGAGAATTATTTATTTCAGCTTTCATTTCTTTCATCACATTCCCAGTGGGTCAGAAGTTTACATACACTCAATTAGTATTTGGTAGCATTGCCTTTAAATTGTTTAACTTGGGTCAAATGTTTTGGGTAGCCTTCCACAAGCTTCCCACAATACGTTGGGTGAATTTTGGCCCATTCCTCCTGACAGAGCTGGTGTAACTGAGTCAGGTTTGTAGGCCTCCTTGCTCACACACGCTTTTTCAGTTCTGCCCACAAACTTTCTATAGGATTGAGGTCAGGGCTTTGTGATGGCCACTCCAATACCTTGACTTTGTTGTCCTTAAGCCATTTTGCCACAACTTTGGAAGTATGCTTGGGGTCATTGTCCATTTGGAAGACCCATTTGCGACCAAGCTTTAACTTCCTGACTGATGTCTTGAGATGTTGCTTCAATATATCCACATCATTTTCCTTCCTCATGATGCCATCTATTTTGTGAAGTGCACCAGTCCCTCCTGCAGCAAAGCACCCCTACAGCATGACGCTGCCACCAACATGCTTCACGGTTGGGATGGTGTTCTTCGGCTTGCAAGCCTTCCCCTTTTTCCTCCAAACATAACAATGGTCATTATGGCCAAACAGTTATATTTTTGTTTCATCAGACCAGAGGACATTTCTCAAAAAAGTATGATCTTTGTCCCCATGTTGCAAACTGTAGTCTGGCTTTTTTATGGTGGTTTTGGAGCAGTGGCTTCTTCCTTGCTTCGTGGCCTTTCAGGGTATGTCGATATAGGACTCGTTTTACTGTGGATATAGATACTTTAGTACCTGTTTCCTCCAGCATCTTCACAAGGTCCTTAGCTGTTGTTCTGAGATTGATTTGCACTTTTCGCACCAAAGTACGTTCATCTCTAGGAGACAGAACGTGTCTCCTTCCTGAGTGGTATGACAGCTGCGTGGTCCCATGGTGTTTATACTTGCGTGCTATTGTTTGTACAGATGAACGTGGTACCTTCAGGCATTTAGAAATTGCTCCCAAGGATGAACCAGACTTGTGGATGTCTACAATTTTGTTTCTGAGGTCTTGGCTGATTTCTTTTGATTTTCCCATGATGTCAAGCAAAGAGGCACTGAGTTTGAAGGTAGGCCTTGAAATACATCCACAGGTACACCTCCAATTGACTCAAATGATGTCAATTAGCCTATCAGAAGCTTCTAAAGCCATGACATCATTTTCTGGAATTTTCCAAGCTGTTTAAAGGCACAGTCAACTTAGTGTATGTAAACTTCTGACCCACTGGAATTGTGATACAGTGAATTATAAGTGAAATATTCTGTCTGTAAACAATTGTTGGAAAAATTACTTGTCATGCACAAAGTAGATGTCCTAACCGACTTGTCAAACGATAGTTTGTTAACAAGAAATTGGTTGAAAAACGAGTTTTAATGACTCCAACCTAAGTGTATGTAAACTTCCGACTTCAACTGTATGTATACGGGTTATGTGTCATTGGTTGTGTTTGTATTAACCTCCCTCTTTATTCACTTCTTGTATTTTCTTGAGCTCTTGGTATGGTGTCGTGGAAATTCTAATCGATAATGAGGAGAGACCAGGTCAACCACCAATCAGGATATTACTTTATTCAAAACGTGTTAATAAGTGAGGCTGGTCGACCCAACACTCTTGACTGTTGGGTTGAGAGCTCTGGCATACAGACAATACAAATATATTTTATAGCACGATACACCCTCCCAGTCTACATGACAAACAGCAGATGTGTGGAATGAGTCAAAAGGTGAGACTTGATATATGAGAAAGGAGTATCTCCCATCCAGATAGCATTTGCTATGAAGACTGTTCTTATTGCATGGAAACCAGAGTTTGGCCCCCAAGACAAGGTTCCTGTCATCATAATCAATTCCCGAGCCATCTCTCCCTGGTACCTTACATTACACAAACACCAACTCATTCTATGGAATGCATGTTGTAGGTTTTATCATCAAACCATTAGTAAATCAATTGTCAGCTCCAGATACCCCTATTTCGAGTAAAACCCATGTCCTTGACCACACGCCTAGACTAGCTGCAGGGAGCTGGAGTAGAAACCATCCCTTTACAAAAACACAGTATATAATTGTTAATTATTAATATTAAACAAAGCAGGTAAACATGTTACATGTACATTTTTCTCTCACAATGGTTGTGTGTTTCTCGTTGGTTGTGTTGATGTGAAACATTATATTCTCATGGCTTAACCCAATTATGTTTATAAACCCTGGATTGCTGATGCTATGTATTGGCCAGTGAGAGTCTTTGAAGCCACCAGTCGGCCATATTGGCACACTCCAGTAGGAGTAGTCCTCCATAGGAATGAATGGAATTCTACAGTATTTCAATTAAATCTTTCAAGGACAGAATTACATGTATTTAAGTAATTTTTTTGTGGTGGGGAGAGTAACATTAGTTATCTCAAATATTTTTTAAATATATATTTATTTGTAGCTCACATAATATAATTTAAAAGTATGCATTTAAAGGTGCAATAGTCTCCCGAGTGGCGCAGCGGTCAAAGGCACTGCATCGCAGTGCTAAAGGCCTGGGTTCGATCCCAGGCTGTATCGCAGCCCAATTTCAGTTTGTGACAAAAGAAGCATAGAGAATCATTGTACCATCTAAACCGCTGTGAAATGTACACTGCTCAAAAAAATTAAGGAAACACTAAAATAACACATCCTAGATCTGAATAAATGAAATAATCTTATTAAATACTTTTTTCTCTACATAGTTGAATGTGCTGACAACAAAATCACACAAAAATTATCAATGGAAATCAAATGTATCAACCCATGGAGGTCTGGATTTGGAGTCACCCTCAAAATTAAAGTGGAAAACCACACTACAGGCTGATCCAACTTTGATGTAATGTCCTTAAAACAAGTCAAAATGAGGCTCAGTAGTGTGTGTGGACTCCACGTGCCTGTATGACCTTCCTACAACGCCTGGGCATGCTCCTGATGAGGTGGCAGATGGTCTCCTGAGGGATCTCCTCCCAGACCTGGACTAAAGCATCCGCCAACTCCTGGAGAGTCTGTGGTGCAACGTGGCGTTGGTGGATGGAGCGAGACATGATGTCCCAGATGTGCTCAATTGGATTCAGGTCTGGGGAACGGGCGGGCCAGTCCATAGCATCAATGCCTTCCTCTTGCAGGAACTGCTGACACACTCCAGCCACATGAGGTCTAGCATTGTCTTGCATTAGGAGGAACCCAGGGCCAACCGCACCAGCATATGGTCTCACAAGGGGTCTGAGGATCTCATCTCGGTACCTAATGGCAGTCAGGCTACCTCTGGCGAGCACATGGAAGGCTGTGCAGCCCCCCAAAGAAATGCCACCCCACGCCATGACTGAACCACCGCCAAACCGGTCATGCTGGAGGATGTTGCAGGCAGCAGAACGTTCTCCACGGCGTCTCCAGACTCTGTCACATGTGCTCAGTGTGAACCTGCTTTCATCTGTAAAGAGCACAGGGCGCCAGTGGCGAATTTGCCAATATTGGTGTTCTCTGGCAAATGCCAAACGTCCTGCATGGTATTGGGCTGTAAGCACAACCCCCACCTGTGGACGTCAGGCCCTCATACCACCCTCATGGAGTCTGTTTCTGACCGTTTCAGCAGACACATGCACATTTGTGGCCTGCTGGAGGTCATTTTGCAGGGCTCTGGCAGTGCTCCTCCTGCTCCTCCTTGCACAAAGGCGGAGGTAGCGGTCCTGCTGCTGGGTTGTTGCCCTCCTACGGCCTCCTCCACGTCTCCTGGTGTACTGGCCTGTCTCTTGGTAGCGCCTCCATGCTCTGGACACTACGCTGACAGACACAGCAAACCTTCTTGCCACAGCTCGCATTGATGTGCCATCCTGGATGAGCTGCACTACCTGAGCCACTTGTGTGGGTTGTAGACTCCGTCTCATGCTACCACTAGAGTGAAAGCACCGCCAGCATTCAAAAGTGACCAAAACATCAGCCAGGAAGCATAGGAACTGAGAAGTGGTCTGTGGTCACCACCTGCAAAACCAGTCCTTTATTGGGGGTGTCTTGCTAATTGCCTATAATTTCCACCTGTTGTCTATTCCATTTGCACAACAGCATGTGAAATGTATTGTCAATCAGTGTTGCTTCCTAAGTGGACAGTTTGATTTCACAGAAGTGTGATTGACTTGGAGTTACATTGTGTTTAAGTGTTCCCTTAATTTTTTTGAGCAGTGTATTTTCATTAACCAAAACTATCGTATTTTCAGCTGTTTGAAGCTGGTGCCCAAAACTGAAAGTAAAAGATGCAGAAATATAAGAACGGGAAGCATAGAAATGGCGCACATAGAACAGATCTACTGCTTCTTAGACTTGCTTTCAATGTGAATGACATATCTATAACTTACATTTCTATGTGAATTTGGTCCGGGCGCCCAAAAAGTTACATATTGCAGCATTAAGGTGTCTGTAATAGAATAAATGTGGCAAAAACGAATATAAACATTGATAAATGCATTTCTATAGCTGTATTTCTTTTTTTTCAATAGATGGAGGCACTGTGGCTTCAACACAGCTCCCTCTAGCAAGCATCTAGTGTGTGTGTGTATATATACACGTAAAGTGTTGGTCCCATGTTTCATGAGCTGAAATAAAATATCTCAATTTTCCAAACGCACAAAAAGCTTATTTCTCTCAACTTTTGTGCATACATTTGTTTACATCCCTGTTTGTGAGCTATTTAGCCTTTCAAGATAATCCATCCACCTGACAGGTGTGACATATCAAGAAGATGTTTAAACTGCATGATCATTATACAGGTGCGCCTTGTGCTGGTGACAGTTAAAGGCCACTCTAAAATGTGCAGTTTTGTCACAACACAATGCCACAGATGTCTGAAGTTTTGAAGGGGTGTGCAATTGTCATGACTGCAGGAATGTTCACCAGAGCTGTTGCCAGATAATGAATTGTTGATTTCTCTACCATAAGCCACCTCCGTCTTTTTAGAGAAGTTGGCAGTACGTCCAACTGGCTTCACAACCGCAGACCACGTGTAACCACTCCAGCTCAGGAACTCCACATCCAGCCTCTTCACCTGTTGGCATATGCCCTCCCAGGCCTACCCATGGCTGCGCCGCTGCCCAGTCATGTGAAATCCATAGATTAGGGCCTAATTAATTTATTTCAATTGACTGATTTCCTTATATGAACAGTAACTCAGGAAAATCTTTGACATTTTTGTATGTTGCGTTTATATTTTTGTTCAGTATAAATCATTGGCTAAACCTCTTCACCTCCAGACATTCATTGGTCGTTTCCGCCGGACCATGGATTCCTCCCAGAATGCCTACAACGAAGACACGTCAGCCCTGGTGGAGCGCTTGGATTACCTGGAGAGGGCGCTGTTCAGGGCGGGGCAGAGCGGCCTCAACAGCTTCCAGAACTGGGAGAGGGGCCGCGCATCAACAATCACTGCCTCTAGCCTGGTGCTCAACTACCGCAAGAGGAAGATCACTGATCTGCAGCCCTGAGGGGCATCCCCAAAGATGCATCCCAAATGCCACCATATTCCCTACATAGTGCACTACTTGGGCCCTGGTCAAAAGTAGTGCACTATAAATGGACTAAGGCGCCATTTGGAACACAACACAGGCCAGAAGAGAAAGGACTGAGTTGGAAGGAGAGTACTGGAGTTGTGTGTGTGTTAGAAAATAAAGCTAAGTTTCAAGTGGGAATCAGTTTGTTGTTTTGGTTCTGTGTTTCTATGTTATAGTGTAATCTTTTGTGTTCAATTTTGAGATCTTTACACACTCTGTACACGTTTTTCAAAGACTTTGTAAATCTTTTTTGAATGATCTGCTTTATCTAATCTAAGTTTGAATTTTCTTAATTAAACCTACCTTAGACTTTAAATTGGATGTCATCCCTTTTTCTTATGGGAAGTATGAATGGTGGGGTAAAACAGGAAAGGTTTTTTGAGAGCAGAGTTACAGTATTTTGCAAAAGCATGTGGCCATGCATTTCATCAGCGATAAGGCAAAACAACTTTAAAATGGTTGTGTATGGATTAACAGGAATGTATTACCATATTATGTACACTACCAGTAAAAAGTTTGGACACCTACTCATTCAAGGGTTTTTCTTTTCTTTTTACTATTTTCTACATTGTAGAATAATAGTGAAGACATCAAAACTATGAAATAACACACATGGAATCATGTAGTAACCAAAAGTGTTAAACAAATCAAAATATTTTAGATCCTTCAAAGGAGCCACCCTGTGCCTTGATGACAGCGTTGCACACTCTTGGCATTCTCTCAACCAGCTTCACCTGGAATGCTTTTCCAACAGTCTTGAAGGAGTTCCCACATATGCTGAGCACTTGTTGGCTGCTTTTCCTTCACTCTGCGGTTCAACTCATCCCAAACCATCTCAATTGGGTTGTGGTCGGGTGATTGTGGAGGCCAGGTCATCTGATGCAGCACTCCATCACTCTCCTTCTTGGTCAAAAAGCCCTTACACAGCCTGGAGGTGTGTTGGGTCATTGTCCTGTTGAAAAGCAAATGATAGTCCCACTAAGCGCAAACCAGATGGGATGGCGTATCGCTGCAGAATGCTGTGGTAGCCATGCTGGTTAAGTGTGCCTTGAATTCTAAATATATCACCTACAGTGTCACCAGCAAAGCACCATCACACCTCCTCCTCCATGCTTCCCGCATTAAGAAGGAAAGAAATTCCACAAATTAACTTTTAACAAGGCACACCTGTTAATTGAAATGCATTCCAGGTGACTACCTCATGAAGCTGGTTGAGAGAATGCCAAGAGTGTGCAATGCTGTCAAGGCAAAGGGTGGCTACTTTGAAAATATATGTTGATTTGTTTAACACTTTATTTGGTTACTACATGATTCCATATGTGTTATTTCATAGTTTTGATGTCTTCACTATTATTCTACAATGTAGAAAATAGTAAAAAAAATAAAGAAAAATCCTTGAATGAGTAGGTGTCCACACTTTTGACTGGTACTGTAGCTCTGCATGCATAATGAATATAGCCTACCCTTTCTTCATAAATGTCATTACTACAACTTAATGAAAATATGCCATAACTGATTTACCACATACATCTATTTAGTCTGTTTGAAAACCATCTACAGTATATCAACATATGCTGTGTTCATAACAAAGTGGGAAGGTGGTATTTATCACACACGACTGGGAAAAATCCACTTGAACGCCCCTCCAACTGGTAATTATTAGTGGGAAACTATCATCCCTGAGTTCAGACTTCTTCCACACGCTAACCTCTGTCACCTACTAAGGAAATTACCTCTAACAGCATTTTTGGCAGTTAAGTGCAAAAAAACATTATTTATAAAAAGCAATCTATTAATATGGTTTTTTTAACACTTTAATTTGTTTCCAAGCATGATAGCTGTACTTTGAGTTTATGGTTGACGTAGCTTGTTGGCCAGTAGCTAATCAGCGTTTCTCAACGAGGTCAAAGCACATGAATGCATCCAACTGGTATTTACGACTTCACAACTGGTAATAACATTAGTCTGCAGAGGAGCAGCTTGGATCTCTGCCCATAGAGAATGATAAAGGATTCTTATCTGTCCCATTATGTCATCTGAGTATACGGACAGCGCCATTGAGGCCATCTCCATTTTGAAGTAGTCCATTTTCTTTTTCTACTTGAGTTGGTAAACAAACTGAGAAATTCCAGCTGGGTCTTCATGACCCGGATGGAATTATGTAATCCTTCCTTAACCCATATGAAGTCCCACCCAGTTGACTACTTCAAAATGGTGAAAGCCCTCAATGGCGCTGCCCATGCTAAAACAGGCTTTTGGTCACTAGAGTCCTCTCTATCTATGGATCTGCCATAGAGCCCATAGTCATAGCAGCACAGAGAGGTTGATGCTGCTGCGTATAGGTTGTTAGGGGACTTAATCATTACAATGAAACTGCCGTAAGGCATTACCCAAATAAAAGTGCATCTAATTTGTACTCAAGTTCATTTGGATCCAAGTTTCAGCCTGTGAACATTTTAATCACAGGGAATGATTCTTGACTCAAATGTGAATTGGGTGAAACTTATCCTCTCTTGTTTAACCTGAAATGTTGTGGCTTGCATAATGGCATTTCTGATGTAATCCTCTGTTTACAGTACATACTCATGCAGTGCAGTGTCTGTATAGTAATGACTGCAGTGACAGGGAGCCCTCAGGAGATGTGTTATGGCCAGCTGAGGGCGCAGGGTTACAACGTCAAGTTTTTAATGGTTTATTTGTTAATGTGTGATACATAAATGTGAGTGTGTTGACCTTGTGCTGCTGCTGTCACTCATTAGACTTTGTCGCAGCACTGCCTGTTACCCAAAGTTGACATTCACGTTTATTTATTGTGTGTGTGAGAGAGATCAAAAGCTCTATCTGCGTCATGATGCACAAGGGCAAGTCTCGGTCTGCAAACCTCAGCACTTCACACACACAAATTAAAGACTTATAGGAAGCTTTCTAAAAAGAATGAGTACTGTTTACAAACAATTTAACTGTCTATCCCTGTTGAGAGGAAATGTACATACAGTATGTATGGTATTAAATCGGTGTGTTTGTACAGTACAGTGACAGACCTATCTGTTCTCCAGTGATAAATGTGGGTCAGCTGATTCCCTTCCTGTTAGGGAGTTGGTGATACGATTGAAGCTATTGACGTTCCCCTCTGGGGTGTAGCTATTGATCCTGGGGACTGACCTCTGTGGGGTGGGTTAGAAGAATATTATCAACCTTTCCCTCGTCATAGGCCTACATCACAGTGTACTGTAACTGTTTATGCTGGACCATCAGAAATCTTACCAGTCCAGACCATTTGGAGGGACTCTGCAGTCCTGGTAATGGTAGAAGTCTGTTGTCAGTGTTTCCTGACCACCTGACCAGGGATAGTCAATAGTACTGCAGAACTGAGGTTACGTTCTTTATTTAAACTATTTTTAGGGGGTAGATCAGCTTTAATAATGCAGATTGTAACTTCCATCAATGTAATTGTCTGCATCACTTCCAATCCCCCATATGTTTTTTTTCTCTCTCGCATATATATATATATATATATATATATATATATATATATATATATATATATATATATATATATATATATATATATATCCTTTAAAAAAAGATGTATATCCTTTAAAAAAAGATATTTCCCTTTATTACCCCACCACCCCTCCCCTAATTGGAGTAAACGAGTGAACAACAACGCTTAGGCCTCTACTTCCAGCTTATACATACTATATACATTTTATGGACACAGTCAATTTTACAATAATTCTATTTTGTTTGTTTTTACTCCTGAACTTCCTCAACCACTCCGATCATTTTCATGATGTCCATCCGGTTTGCTTCTATATGCCATATATTTCTAACTGTGCTCTTTCACAAAAGCTCTCAACCTATATACTTATTGACACAGTATGCTTTACATTAATTATCTTGTTATTATTAGTTGTTGTTATTAGTCCCGTCCTTCAGCTCCTTTCAACACCTCCCATCCATCTCTTAACACCATCCAAATTGGATTTCTATTTGCCATATATTTTTCAACTGTACTGTGATGTTTCACAAAAGTTCTGAACCCTTCTATTTCATTGTTTCTACAGATTGTAAATTGAAAATAAACATTTTTGCTGAAAGTATTATTATATTATTGATCGATTGACTTTTCAGATCACCCAGCAGTGCTATCTGCAGGGTTAGCTCCAGGTAAATATTGCAATCCTTCAGCCATTCCTGGACCTGTGACCAAAAACAAGCTACAAATGGACAGTACCAAAACAAATTATCTAATGATTCTGTCTCTTCGCAGCAAAATCTGTAGAGCTGGGAAGATTGTATCCCCCATATAAATAACATTCTATTGGTAGCAAGAATTTTGTATAATAATTTAAATTGTTTTGAATCCGGCGTCGTTTTGGGATCGGTACGTCAAAAATCTCTTCCCAACCATTTTGCAATCTATATGGGACGGCTGTCAATCCTTTGGTCCTTAAATGAAACTGGTATACTTTTTTATTTATCACAATTTTCTTAAACCAATTATGTTCTTTAATGCAGGGCCGACAGACAAGTTCCTTACTTTTTCCCCCTTCCACTTTCTTCTTCCATTTTTGCAGTAATGCTGCAATTATTTTGTTGTAATTTTGGGTAGAGCAGACATTTCCATATGTTTTTGTTAGCTGCATGTGCGACAACTCCACCAGTCCTAACTATGATATAATTTACAAAGATTATACCTTTTTTAAACATTTTTTCAATTTTTGTTTTTTTTAATCAATTCGTATATTTGAGTTTAACCACAATATTTGTTACATTATTTGTTCTGTCGTTTCTGGAGAATTAATTTGAAATTGCAACCCACTTTCTATGGCTTGTTTTAGAAATAGTGATATTTGGGAGATTTCCTTTTCAAGTAACTGAAAGTG